AAACCGCTAAATTTACGGTATTGATGCTCAAATCCGATCTTATTTGTGGTAGATATTCCACCATCATTCTCTTGCTTCTTATATCTGCTTATCATGTATAAAAACATTATATCGTAATTTAGGCAGGGTAAATATGTGTAAATAGCCATGATTCCACCCGTTATCCTCTGGTAATCTAACAGTTTGCTATATGGAAGCCATGGCCATAGAAATGGATCACATTTACCTATTGTTAAACATGATCGTTTTCCATAGCTACGTAACAAATTGCTAGAGGGTAACCCATTCATATCCCAGTAAATCCCATTTCTCAGGGTTAAATTCGTTAAATCACCATTTGCATAAAGATCATTATCCAACTAACCATCATTAACCATCATGTAACCCTCCAGTAAGAAAAACAGCTCGACCCTGCCAGTCATCAGATTTTTTTCGAATAAGTCTCCACTGAAAAGGTGTGATGTTCAGGGCCTATGTTACTGGAGGGTTGCATGATGGTTAATGATGGTTGATGGTTAATGATGGTTAGTGGGTAAATCATCTATATAGCTGGTTGGTGGTCTCAACCCCTCTGAAAAATATTAGTCAGTTGGGCTTATTATTCCCAATAGATGGAAAAATAAAAAATGGCATTGTGTCAAAACCTTGTACCCCTGGTGAACATCAAAATAGCTGGTAAATGGATGTTCATCCCCATAAAAATGGTATTAATAGGTATTGATCCATACCCAAATGTTCCAAACCACCAACCAGATGTTCATTGGTGATGTAACCCTGAAAATTGGGATTTACTGGGATATGAATGGAGTACCCTCTGAGTAAATTATAGGTAAATCATCTATTTACAAACGATGATCTAATACTCTGGTTCGTCGAATGGGTTACCCAGTTACGTCTATGTGAAATGGTTAATCGCATCATTTTCAGGGTCTATGTTCCACCAACCATCATGTTTAACAAAATGGTTTACAAATGATTAACCACCTATCTAGGGAAACTCTACATATGCATATATATATACATATCATTTTAATGTACAAATGATAATCTATAATAATCTGTATACCCTCTGGTGTTAGGTGTGAATTTACCAGCGGGTAACAGCTTCATCTTTCTCCATGTGGCCTGCCCACTTTCTCGCAGATTCTCTGCAAGCTCTCGGGGACCTCGATCGCTAGCGGTAGCGGTAAAGGGAAAGCGGTGTAATACGACATGACCCTTTGGTGGATGCTATGGAACCCCCAAAATGATGATATTCATGGGAAACATATATATATATGTGGAAAAAAAATATCTTCTCGTACTATTCCATTACTATCCCATGGTTTCTTGAAAACCAATCAGAAAATCTTTGGCGGTCGGGCCGGATACAGTCCTTAATTTTGTCCAAGTCAAATCAGTTGCAACAACCGATTTATCTGTCCAAACCAGTTGTTTCTGCTCAAAAATGACCCCATGAAGCTACAAGTACCAAACCATGATCTTACGAATCTTACATCTGATCACATTTCCGGGATCTGGTGTGACCTCAAACCAATGATAAACCATATCAAACATGTCAACATCAACCATGTCAACCAATTTCTGGCCATTTTAATGGCGAAAAAAATCTTCTCTTAATATCCCAACATCTCAGACATTTCTTGACAACCAATCAGAAAACATATGGAGGTTTCCTAAGCCATCAGGGTACCCCTAGTCATCATCCATTTTTTTTGTTGGGATTTTCCATGAAACCATCCAGCTATTTTTAGGATCCCCCATGACTATGGAAGGCATACAGCACAAATATGAGCACGTTAATAACAGAGTATACCCATACCACAGGTATTCATCAAGCGCACCATATCAACCAACCCAGCAACACTCAGGGACTCCCGGTCGTCAAGGAACAGCCCGCCAGTAGTTCGTCCAGGTCGGACAATCCGTTGGGCTGTGCCGAGCTGTAGCGTTGCGGCCTCGGCTTAGGAGCCGTGCCAATGCCGAGGGAAGATGTGGGCTATGACTATGACCAATAGATTACTACAGAATACTATAGTGGATGTAGATAGATGTAGATAGATGTAGATAGATAAAGATAGATGAAAATAGATGTAGATAGATAGATATATGTACACATAATGTATCCACATGCGGATAGAATCTATTCTCGTTCTCCAAAATTGGTATCATCTCAGCGAAAACATGTATCTATCCTTCAATTGCCGAAGTGGGTTGTAAGCTGTTATGTATCCCTGTTTGGAACGATGGAGATAAGCTAATCAATTAGTTGGAATTGCTAAATAAGGGATTTATACTTGAACGTTCATGTCAACCAATTGATCGTTTAGTGGTTGGTGAACCATTTAAGACTTGTTGCTTGACAGGTGCTTCAGTGAGGGTAAGCACATAACTATATTTCATGGAACCAAAGAAAATTCATGGTAACCCCTCGACATTTTGAATAAATCAGTGCGCTGAAAATCATTATTGCATGGGGGTGAGAAACCAAACTGGGAAAAGCAAACAATGATGATATCAATTGTCCACTAGAAAACAAAAAACATCTGAAAATATATATATAATTATATAGATAATTCTATATATATATATAATATATAAATTATATATATATGTATAATTATATATATAATTGTATAGATAGTTACAGTAGTTAGTTAGATTCCAAGAGGAATGGTTGCTGAATCAAAACGGCAGCACCCTGACAGGGGTTTTCCAACAGTTGGGTCCCATGTCTCCAGGCCTTCCAGGGACCAGCCCAGAGTGGGTTGAAGCGAAAAAACTGCAGGAGACCCTATGGAAAAGCTATGGAAAACCACCATTTTGAATAGGTAAAATCATGAATAAATGGTCCATGTTCCATTGTTATGTTAGTTTACTAGTAAACTTAAGGCTATGTTCTAGTATGTCCTTTCCCTGAATACTTGGTTTTCCGTTCGTGAAAAATTGCCCTACCATCACTTCACCGTTCACCGTGGCTTTCACAACAGCTGGGGAAGTCATAGCTGACCCCATCCCACTATTGTTGGTCAACCTTCGCACCGTTGATCATACCGTGGCATCATCTCCCTATTGTAGCGACCAAAATCTGTCACGCTTCTGGTGTAACAGTATTGTTTTGATCATCATATCAATTCATATCAATCATATCCATTGTTGGTCAATTTCCCCTTCTCCCCTTCGTTATCAACATGTTTTAACAAGTTTTTGGTGAAAAATCTTGCCTTGTAACATCCATTCTCCACAAGATGTTGTCGAGCAAAAAATGTAACAAATCCCCCGGACCCAGCTGGACCCAGCTGGACCCTGGGAATCCACCATTCTTCCCCAAGTGGCAGGGTCAACTGGTCGATCATTAATGTTCATTAATGTTCAAATTAATGTTCTCAAATGATGATCAAATCTCTCAAATCTCCAGTTCAAAGCAGCATTCTCAAAGTCATCCTGGCTTTATTTCAAATCATTACCCTCTGGTAAACGTTTACATAGCAATTGAAAATGGCCCAGTCGAAATAGTGGATATTTACCCATTAAAAATGGTGGATCTTTCCATAGTTTTTTGTATGTTTACCAGAGTGTATTAGCCCAGAAAAATGGGCCAACCTCCAAGCCTTATCAAAGTCATCCACCGTTGCCATCCACGGCACCGCCTATCAAAATCTGGGGCGCCGCGCCGGATGGCCGGACTGCTCAGGGCCCAGGCGATAGTATCATGATCCGGGAGGCCCTGGCGGGAATGAACTATGGTTAAATCATGGTTAATGATGGTTACTGGTTAATGATGGTTAGTGGGTAAATCATCTATATAATCTTGTTGGTGGTTGATGGTTAATATGTAGTTAATATACTGTTAATAATGGTTAATCTATGGTTAATGATGATGGTTATTATATGGTTAATGATGGTTCCTTTTATGAATAACTATATTTATATGTATATATATATGTATATATATGTGGCTCAGCCCTGCAACCCCCCTCCCCCTCATGGTCATGGTCCTGTATGTAGGCTGTCGGATATAGTTGACATTTTGCTAGCATATATATAAATGATCGATGTAGAGTCTACTTTACCCCCGCCCGCCCTGTGGGGTGGATGGGGGCTAGGTAGTGTGTCACTGCCACAACTCGTATGTGGCCAGCATGTAAATGATCCATCTAGGGTCTACTTCACCTCCGGGTCCCCCCCCCGTGGGATGGGTGGGGTGTTATAGAGGTATCATGTAGATAGTGTATAGGTAGTATGTGGCTAGCACGTATGTATAGCACATGAAATCTTGATAGTAGCTAGCATATGGCTACTATAGAGGTACTTCATGGGCAGTAATACCTTGTAAATAGGGTGATGAAAGGTGTAGCTTACCCCCCCGCCGGGATGGGTGGTGTTTTATAGAGGTATCATGTAGGTAGTGTATAGGTAGTATGTGGCTACCACGTATGTATAGCACATGAAATCTTGATAGTAGCTAGCATATGGCTACTATAGAGGTACTTCATGGGCAGTAATACGTTGTAAATAGATTGTATGGCATATCCTAGGCAGTAGTTAATCTGCATGGAGGTATTCTGTTATGTAGTGCATAGGTGGCACGAGGCCAGCATGTAAGTACAGCATATGAGCATATGAGATCTTGACGGATGGTGGTAGACGGTTGGTCACCTCCATGGGGGTGGTTGCTGGGGGGGCTGGGGGGGCGATAGCATTGGGGGGACGGGGGGGTTGCCGGACGCCGGGTGGGACCATATATATTGAAATATAATATAATATTGTTTGTGCTCTTGTTCATATGCCTGCATATCCCATTCTGCATTTCATTCAATCCAACATTACCTTAGCCGTTTCGAGATCGAAAACAAGAAGGCGCGTCCGTGGATTGGGCGTTGGTGTGGGAAGACCCGCACAAATCGAGAAGTGCACAAGGCACACAAGGCGAAGGACACTTGGGACTCAGGGCTGACCTTAAACAGGTTATGAGCCCAAGGTGACGCTCTATGGAGGTGATGCAGAGGCGAAAGGCAACCCCTGAGGAGCTGAAACAAGGCATGGAGCAGATGATGGCTGCCCAGGAAAGGTTGTCTAAAGAAGCAACTGAGGAACCCATAGAAGATATCCCTGGGTCTCACAGTGATGTAGCTCAAGGGAAAGAACCTAGGCTAGAAGATGCAAAAGAGTTTTTGGATGTTGGTTCAGAAGGAATTGAGACGTCAAGGGATGCTGCACCATCCCAGCAAGAAGGGCAGAAGGCAGAAAGGAGTTCCCCGAAGAGGTTAGAGGATAGTCAGGGTTCGAAGCAGCCCCCAAAAACCCCAAAGCGGATCTCAGTTTCTGCCCCTGCCGCGCAGAGCTCAGAGCCAGCAGCTAGCGTTGCTCAGAAGCCTGGAGCAGAAAGCGTCTCAGGCAAAGGAAAGGGAACGAAAAGAGAAGAAAAGACAGGACAGGACTTGGCATGTGACACTCCTGTTAGACCGCCTGTGGAGTCTCAGATGTACATCGCAGGTTTTGAGTCAGGTCCTGATAGATCTCACATGACCACACCTCTGTTTTCAGCACAGCAGCTTAGAGAATGGGAAGAGCTGCATAGCAGAGCACCATGGCTTTACAGGCTCACTCCAGGCGTTCAGAGGCCTGTTTGGCTGGAAGAAGAGGAGCGAAGATCCCGCCTGTTGCAGGAGGAAAGAGCTGAGGAAGAAGAAAGAGCGCGTCGGCTTCAGAGAGAGGCCGAAGTGAATGAGATGAGAAGGAGGCTTCAGTCTCTTGAAGAGGAGAACTTGCGTTTGAAGATGGAACGCGAGAATTTGCAGCAGAGCATAGCTCAGCCGAAGGGTTCTAGCTATGGCAACCCAGGAGATAAAGATGCTGAAGTTTTTCCCAAGGAGGCTGAGACCACCAAAGAGGAGGCCCAGACCCCAAGGGAGGATCAGGTGAGGCAGAGGATCAAAAGGAAGAGAACAGAGGGTCAGCTGGAGCTCAGCTGCCGATGAATGAGGAGCGTAAGCTGCAAGCAACAATGATGCACAGCATGGTGAAGCTCATGGAGGGCATGCAGACTATGCAAGCGCAGATTTTGGACGTTCGGCGTCAGAAAGACGTTGAAGTTGTCAAGAATGCGGCAGTGGAGTTGCCGAAGTTGCAAGAGTGGAAGGCTGATACAGCCCCTTTGGATTTGGCAGACTGGCTGTTGGTCGTAGAACCGGTCCTTTCTGACCTCTCCGACAATAGTCAGCAGTGGTGGGAGGCTATGTTGGCTTCTGTTCGTCAATGGTATGCAGAACACCAAGAAAAGACACCTTTAGAGCGAGTCAATCACAAGCCACAGGTCCCTCTTCCACTTCAAGATCCACGCTTCCAGAGGTTGGAAAAGCGTGCAACTGCTCTTTTGATGTCGGCCATTCCTCCTACGCAACAAGAGGAGGTGGTGGCTTCCAAAGAGGTGAACACCGTCGGGATCTTGTCCCAGCTCATGCTATGCTATCAACCTGGAGGGCTCTCAGAGAAAGGGGCCATTCTCACGGCCTTAGATTCTCCGGAGGAGGCACCAAGCTTGGCTAGAGCGGTGACTGGTCTTCGACGTTGGCTGCGATGGCATCGAAGGGCTGGAGAAGTTGGTGTTACCCGCCCAGATGCGACTTTGCAAATCAAAGGTCTTGGGCGTTTGATGAAGCGAGTTTTGAAGGATAACGCCGATTTGGCGTTTAGAGTGCAAGTATCGAGAAGCAGTTTGCAAGTGGATACAGCTCCGACTGAAGCGTCTGTGATGACGTTTGCCAACCATCTACTTGCGGAAGTGGAACAAATAGCACATCAAGACAAGAGGAGAAAGGAAGATGCGAAGAGCAGCGCGGAACCAAAGGTAAAAAGGCTGGAGGAGTTTGCTGGAGGTTCAAAAGGTGAAGGCAAGGCATGGAGGGGAGAAGGCGCGCAGTCTTCAACTCCATGCAAGTTCTTTCAGTCGGAGGAGGGCTGTAAGAAGGGCAAACAATGCACTTGGAGCCATGTCCTGGAAGGAGACCGAAGGCGTTGCTGGACGTGTGGCTCGACAGGCCATTTGGCTCCAGCGTGTGATCGCCCCAGGGAGCCTCTCAGAGACCAAGGCGAGAAAGGTCAGAAGGGAGGAGAAGGCAAGGGTTTCCACAAGCCCAGTGGCAAGGCTTTGAAGAAGGGCGAGAGCCAACAGAAAGAAGAAGGGCCTGGAGGAGAGGCTACAAGTGAGGAGTCAGCAACATCAGCAGAGACGATGAAAGGTCTGTTGGAAGAAGCCAACAGGATCTTGAAGGGCCTGTCGGCAAGGACAGGAGAAGCCGAAAGCAGGACAAAGGATGAAAGACTGACTGCCATGCAAGGCCAGTTGGATGAACTCCGGAAGCTGAAGGTTTTGAGGCTGTCACGCATAGGGAAGGAACAAGAAGCTTATGGCCTGCTCGACAGTGGAGCAACCAACCCCATGCGTGGCAAAAGAAGAGGAGAAGATCTGTCACAACTGGAAGAGGTCCAGGTGACGCTGGCCGACGGCAGTCAGGTAGGGATGAAGATGACGGCATCAGGAGTCATGGTGGTGGAAGATGAGTGGGCCGAACCCATTGTCCCACTTTGCCTCCTGACTAGCAAGTTAGGATATGTGGCGTCGTGGAAGAAAGGGCGCATGACTCTAAGCCACCCCATTGATGGAAAGGTGGAGGTCTGCATGAGAAGTGGATGTCCTCAGGTATCCCGGCTTGATGCCTTGAGGATGATTCAGAAGCTGGAAGAGGTGGAGACGCCAAGAATGCAGGCCCTGAAGCTTAGCCAAGAAGAGATGTGGCTGTGGGAGTTGATGGAAGCCCATCCGGTACTGAAGAGGTTGCCGGAAGCCATCAAAAGAAGATTGGTGGTGAAGCCAGCGGAGGATCTCAGAGGTATCCCTGATGCAAACCGCCGAAGAAGAAGAGTGATGGCGGAACAGGGGTTCGTGGTTCACCTCTATGCCGGTGAGAGTGCCGGGTATAGCCTCAGCCGAGCGTTCAAAGAAGCAGGAGGAGATGGACGAAGGCTGGTGGAAATAGATGTAAAGAGGGAAAACCACGAGAAGCACAGGAAAGGAGCACACGATATGCTCGATGATGAGAATGGACCTTTTGCGTCCCTATTGAGGAGTGCCTTGGATGGATCGCTGCTGGGCATTGTCATGGGCCCAAATTGTAGGACGAGGTCAGTTCTTCGTCACTACCCGTTGGCAATCCCAGGAGGAGGTCCTCGGCCGTTGAGGAGTTGGGATCAGCCATGGGGGAAATCAGGTAATACCCCAGAAGAGCAGCGAAAGGTAGAGGATGATGATGTGTTGCTTTGGAGAGGACTGATGTTGTTCATTATCAGGGAGGAGGTCAGGAAGGCACTCCACAGTGACAAAATCCCCGTCACTAGGTTGGGATTGGAGCAGCCAGCAGATCCAACCCACTACATTCCCGAGGTGGTCACGCTCTGGAAGACTGAGGAATGGGAACTGCTTCGACGTATGTACGACCTTAAAGCCCAGAGCTTTAAGCAGTCAGCCTGGGGAGGTCGAGCAGTGAAGCCCACGACGTTCGCCGGCAACGTCACTCTGAGGCTGCCGGAGGAAGACCAAGCAGAGAGCTTTGAGGAGTCGGCAGCGAAAGCTCAGGTGATGAACTCAGTGGAGCTGTCAAGATGGCCGCCGGGAATGATGAAAGAAGTTGCCACGAGGATCCAACAGGATGTCCTTCAAGCGAAGCTGAAGGCGGCCAAGATGTCATGTGCAGAGCATCTGGAAAGGGGGCACACACCGTTTCGACGTGACTGTAGAGTGTGTCAAGAAGCATCAGCCAGAGGTCGGATGCATTCTAAGGTGAAGCATCCCAGAGCAGGTGTGATGAGCCTTGATGTCACCGGTCCCTACAAGAAAGGGAAGGACATCGATGGTGAAGCCAAGTTCATGTTGATTGGCACCTACACCTGGCTCAGACCCCCCGATGAGGAAGAGGCAACAGAAGTTGATGAAGAACTAGAGCTCGAAGCCCAAGAAGATGAGGATCAGTGGCCAGAGATTGAAGATCAAGAAGCCGCACAAGAAGAAGAAGAAGAAGAAGAAGAAGAAGAAGAGCAGGCAGATGCAGCAGAAGACCCCCAGGAAGAGCAACAAGCAGAACCCCCACGAGCATTTGAGGAGCCCCCCGAACCCCCAAAGATTGAGGTGATGAGAATCGGCATTCCCATCAAAGGGAAAGCACAAGAAGCAGTCTTGAGTGGCTTCATTGAGTTGTACCTTCAGTTGAAGGTAGATGGTTTTCCGGTGCATACAGTGCACACGGATCGAGGACGTGAATTCGTCAATCGACGATTCAGAAGTTGGTTAAGATGCAGAGGAGTTGTGCATTCAACCAACGGAGGAGAAGATCCTATGGCCAACGGAAGAGCCGAAAGGGCTGTTGGTGAAGTGAAGAGAAGAATAAGAAGGATTCTCCACGGCTCGGAGATGGATGTGTGTTGGTGGCCTATGGCACTCAGGTTCCTGATGGAGTTGGCCAGATTGAGGAGAAAGAAGGAGGGCATCAAAATTCCCCAGTTTGGGGAGAAGTTACTGGTGAAGACAAGGAACTGGCGCACAAAGGCATTTCAACCCACACATGAAGCAGCACGATACTTGGCACCAGCCATAGAGGCACATGGGCATTGCGTGCTGAGAGAAGATGGACGTTGGGGTGTTGCCCCTTATGTGGTTCGAAGCATACAGGAACCACCGCCGCCCAAAGATGAAATGTGGCTGGCGATCGCAGAGGAGGTGGAAAGGGACGAAATCCAGGAGAGGAGAAGGATCAGAGAGAAGAGGCCAATCAGGGATGGAGGACTGGAAGGCCTTTTGGGGATCAGAAGAATGATCCAAGAAGAAGCACAGAGTGTGGAGATGGACCAGCTGGATAACGCACTGCTCACCTTTCAGAAGATGGACCCTTGGAAGAAGGTGATGAAAAGGGCGGAAGGAGCAGAGCAGGAGATTCTACAGACAAAGATAGTCTCTCCGCAAGAGCTGGTGAAGGATGTCCACCTCTGGGATGAAGCCATTAAGGCCGAGCTAGATGCTCTCCTTAATGCCAAGGAAGCTTTGAGGAAAATCACGTCAGAAGAAAAGGCCAGGCTAGAGGAGAGGCATCCCGACCTGCTCGTGGTGCCCTCGAAGTTGGTCATCACGAGAAAGGCAGGTGGTCGCCGAAAGGTGCGGATTGTGGCTTGCGGAAACTATGTCGAGAAGACTGAGAAGGAAGATGTCTTTGCTAGTGGATCAGATTCCATTAGCTTCCGCATAGCACTGAAGAAGAGCTTGGATGAGGGATGGACAGGAGCCACAGCCGATATCAGAACGGCGTTTTTGAATGCACCTCTCGGTAGGTCGGCAGAAGCTTTGGAGGGCCTATGGAAGAAAGAAGAGCTCGAGGAGCTAGGCCAAGAAGTAGTGGTAGTTCTGGTCAAGCCACCAGCCCTGCTGATCAAGCTCGGCTACATCAGCCCCGAAGACTGGTGGGTCGCAGTCAAGGCGGTCTACGGGCTGAGACAGAGCCCCAAGGCTTGGGGTGACCACAGAGCCCTGGTTCAATCCACCACGGACCCAAACGTCTGGAAGATCGTGAAGAGGTCCGGTGGGCTGGATGAGGAGATGGAAGGGCTATGTGTGGTGTATGTTGATGACCTGATGGTCTTATCCCAAGAGCACATCGTCAAGGAGTGCCTTGAGAGGATATCCCGAGAGTGGGAAATAAGCACCCCGGAATGGCTAAACGAGGTCAAGCCAGTCAAATTCCTGGGGATGGAGGTCTTGATGGGCACAAAGAGTGCTTTCATCACACAAGAGAGCTACGTACAGGACCTCCTCAGACGAAATGGCGAAGAGGAAGGCCATAAGTCTGGAATTCCGATCTCAAAGGATCAGGTGTTGAGGCTGGAAGAAGAAGACCACACGAAAAGCCCAGAAGACGTCAAGGCTGCACAGCGTGCCACTGGCGAGCTGATGTGGCTTGTCACACGCAGCCGTCCAGATTTGATGTTTGCACTGAGTAAGATGTCCCGAGCCACACTGAAGAACCCCAAAGAAGTCCTCATGGTCGCCAAGCAGGTGTGGAAATACTTGAGGAAGACCAAGGCAGAAGGTCTGGAGCTGAAGGCTGGCGGTAAGGACCTTGAGGTTTATACAGATTCCTCCTACGGATCAGGTGGTCTCGACTCCCAAGGAACTGTATTGGTGTTATGGGGAAAAAGCCCCATCATGTGGAAATCGGGCCGACAAGGAGCGCCTGCCCTCTCAACAGCTGAGAGTGAGCTGACAGAGGGAATTGATGGAATGATCATGGGGGATAGTGTGGATGTTCTCATTCTGGAGCTCAGCCAGGATACATATGCCAAGGTGATCAAGATAGACAACACAGCAGCAGTGAGCTTGATGACAGAAGCTGCTGGAAGTTGGCGCACACGCCATCTGAGATTGAGGGCGTCCCATCTGCGGTGGAGGATTGGACGATTGGATTGGGTGGTGGAGGCGATCTCAGGACAGGTGCAGATTGCAGACATTGGGACAAAGGCCCTCACAGCTCCGAGGTTAGAGGAGTTGAAGCAGATGATGGGCATGAAGCAGAGAAGAGATGATCAAGAGGAGGAGAAGCAGGAGCAGAAGGATTCAGGATCGAGACAGCACATGAAGAAAGGAGTAGAGGAGACAGGGCTTCAGGAGGCAGGAGCAGAGGTTGAGAGGATTTTGAGGATGGTCATCCTCCTCTGCAGCGTCCAACAGGCCAAAGCCCAAGAACAAGAGGAGGAGGAGGGTTGGAGCTCTCTAGCTCAACTTGTAGCTCTGACGGTCTTCGCCATGATCGGCGTCACGACATGCATAAGCTGGATGGTGAGGTTGATGACCCCAGCGAAGAGGAGCTTGGAGGAGGAAGAACTGACGAAGAGAGTCAAAGAAGCACTCTCGACAGACTCAAGCCAGAGGGGCGCGAGTCCGACACAGGAGTCAAGCCATAGAAGGACGGCTCCGACGAGGAAGGAGCAGGGCCATGAGGAGGAAGGAGGAAGACAGCAGCAGACGGCAGCCAGCTCAACATCTGGAGCTCACGCACCAGAGGAGCCAGCATCTAGTTCTCAAGCAGTCCCCCCACCCCAGATCTCCGTGAAGGCTCCGCCACCAATTCCCAAACAAGCTCCGCTACCAGCACCAGCCAGCACCCAACACCAGAGAACAGTGCCAACGATGAGCGGGAACACATGGACCCCGGGAGAAGAAAGAGGCCAGAGGGCGGTGAGAGGAAGTATCCGATCACCCATTTTTGTGACTCCATGGGGTGCCCGCTATCATGAATACACAAGTTGTCCTACTTTGGCCAACACGAAGAGATTTGTGCCGTGTCAGTGGTGCGATGTTTGCGCCCCACTCGGAAAGACTGGAGACCAACCGGTGTACACGTGTGGACCGGGTTCAAAGGCGCACTACGATTCCGACTGCGTTGCGATGACTGAATCTGGAAGAAAGTATCAGAAATGTCAGCGCTGCGTGAATGCGACTTAGCGAGTGAGAGACGGCTTGAGTCAATCTTGGAAGGTCACCGTTTTTAGGTTTTTGTTACCTTCCACTGGCACCGAATGCTTGTGGCCATGGATGGAAATTCCCATGCCAATTGAATTTTCCAAATGCGTCAAATGTGTAATCTGCAGATGGGCATCGCAGATTAGGAGGAGTGTTTGTGCTCTTGTTCATATGCCTGCATATCCCATTCTGCATTTCATTCAATCCAACATTACCTTAGCCGTTTCGAGATCGAAAACAAGAAGGCGCGTCCGTGGATTGGGCGTTGGTGTGGGAAGACCCGCACAAATCGAGAAGTGTACAAGGCACACAAGGCGAAGGACACTTGGGACTCAGGGCTGACCTTAAACAAATATATATATATATATATGGGTACAATACATAGTATATTGTATCTATATAGTGTAACTCTATCTATCTATCTATCTATATATATATATCATGGGTCCTTGGGTAGCTATATAGATATATTTTACCTAGCTGTGTATGTAGTTACTAAGACTATATATGGGTAACTAGATAAATATACATATATATTTGTTTATATTTATGTGGACAAAATCGGAGATATTACATCTTTGATCATGTGTGTATATCTGTTTAGAAGTTCACTTGAAAAAATGGGCGGATGACATGTTTCTACCTCGAAAAAATAGGGGATCGAAGCCCCAAAACCTGCTTTTCCCAAGAAAAAAAATGAGATTTCAGTGATTTTTTTCTACCATGATAGGTTTTTCATGGTTTTTTAAAACCATAATTGAGACTTCCACTGGTTTTTCCATGGTTGTTCTATCATTTCACATCCAAATCTGATGATTTTCTTCGACCCCAAGCTGCGTTTATCAAAGCTCCCCACCTCTGTGCACCATGAGGTGGACGCCTAGGCAGCGATGGTTAAATCATGGTTAATGATGGTTACTGCTTAATGATGGTGAGTGGGTAAATCATCTATATCATCTGGTTGGTGGTTGATGGTTAATATGTGGTTAAGATACTGTTAATCTATCGTTAATATATGGTTATTATATGGTTGTTATATGGTTATTATATGGTTATTATATGGTTAACGATGGTTAATAATATAATCTGGTTGGTGGTTGACCTACCCCTCTGAAAAATGATGGAGTGAAAGTCAGTTGGGATGATGACATGCCCAACTGGATGGAAAAATAAAAGCCATGTTCCAAACCACCAACCAGATAATCTACAGTAATAGAACTAATGCTATAGTATAATTACTATCAGATAGAATAGTTAATAATATATATAGTACATAATTCTATATATTATACAGTCATATAAATTATGAATATACCATATATATATACATACATATACCAATTATATTGTGAAGATACCATACACTTGGTGATAATAGAATAATAGGTATAGCTCATAATATAATATAATATAATATATTATAATATAATATAATATAAGATAAGATAATATAATGTAATATAGTATAATACAATATAATATAATATAATAACATAGTATGATAGTACATACTTGATAATTATAATACTAATATATACATAATTATATATTCATATAAACGATTATAAATGTTATAGACACTAATTATATATACAGAATTATATAATACTTCACTAGCGGTGTATTATATAATATCATATAGTATTATATAGTTATATACACTAATACTATTAGCATCAAAGTTGATAAATGTGTTGAAGTTGAATCTCAACAAAGAATTCTATCTGAAAAGGGGGAATTAACCTCCCAATTGGCCATATGTTAATTGGGAAAATGATGATACAAACCATTGGCATTGGGGTACCCTAGTTTCAGACAAAGCCAACTCAACTTCGGGCTATCAGATTTTGAACCTTTGGCTAAAAGTTGGCTCTCTCCATCACAGACCTAACACACTGGTCATCCAAATTAGCACCATGTTTTTCACTGAAAAAAATATCTGCGACCCCTGATGTACTTGAGTTGTAGAAGGTTCTACCACTTCATCTCCTCTGATTCAGAAGTAGCCCTCCAAAATAGGGACACCAGCATGAATAGATAGATCCAACACATTTCACCTGGCTTGGATGATCCCAGGTCAACTGTTGCTTCACCTAAGTCCCCTAGGTGCTTTGCAAACGGGGAGACTGTGGCCTCGAAAAAATCCTCAAGATGGCAATTCCAGAGACCTTTTAAAAAAAGTTTAACAAAAAGATAGATCATCAACATGGAAAATATCGTGCGAATATGTGTTTCCTTGTTTTTCCATGTTTTCCCACCTAGGAAAGCATGTTTTACAAATGGATCGAAATCAAATCCACCCAACGCTCAGGTGTCAACGCCCACCTGGCCCATGAGAGATATTCTCAACCTCACGGGAGGTTTGTGTCAGGGCGATGACCGCAGATCTGGAGTATTTGATGATATTTCTATGGTGAATTGTCCATTTCTAGGTCAGATTTCAGGTAAAGATTTCATGGCATAGCAACAACTAATTGTCACTTGATGAACAAAAGTCAACAGCACCGAGCCGTTTCTTGTCAAAAGTTAACCAAAAAGAACAAAAAGATCTTATAGAATGCGTGGAAGAAAGCGTGTCTTACCGTATTTCATAGATGCGGGAAAAAAAAGTCCTAGAGCAAGAAAGTTTGGTTGGTACTTAAACCAAAAATATCCAGAAATATGGTTGGGTCAACTGGGATTATCATCCCATGAAAGAAATCCATGCTTCTTGAGGGAGATCAAACATAATAAACCCATAGCCAAATGACTCAGAAAAAACAGAAATGGGTTTTATAAACCATCCCCCATTTGAAGCATGATTTAACCACTGCATTTTGCTGATGATGCTCGCCGGCCTCAACCAAGCGTTCCATCCATGGCGGACTTCAGCCGTGGATTTTTACTGATTTCCTAATGGACTCGCCTGTTTCCTTTGGGCAGTGTGAGTTTCCATGGCGGGCTTGAAAAGTTGCTGTATGTTGTTGTTGAGCTTCATAAGTTCCATTTAGTTCCATATGATTTTCGCAGTGCGGGCTGTGCGCCCAGCAGCCATCTTTGAGCCCAGGGAAGGGTAAGATGATGTAAGCTATCTGGAGATGGAAAACTGACAAAATCCCCGCAACCCCGGCTGTGCTCCTTCATCTCCATCTGATTCTGCAAACAACATGAAATCTTGAAGAAAAACAAATAAGCCAAACCACCGAAAATGTGAAACAAGAAGTCCCCCGCCAGAAGTTGGAAGTGAGCTGTTTTCCCATTTTTCCTCAATTCCCACGGCATCCACGCCAAACACGCTGTACACCCACCATGGTCGCTCCAGCTTTGCTGAGACCGGATGGTGGCTGCGCGGGCTGCCATCGACTTGCAAAGCAAGTAACTGAGCCACTTCGAGGGAGGCTCTGGATGCTGCTCTAGCTGTCGCAGTACTTTTGATGGGCCATAGGTTGTTTGCTAAAATAGGGGCAACACCAAAACGTCCAGTCGTCATGGATGACCAGTCGACTTAGTATTGAAGCCTGTGATTTTGGGATCCCCCATGAATCAAAGAAACCTCCAAGTGGATAGTAACTGCATTTTCTATAATTTTCTCCGGTAATAATCTTGACATGTCCCAATGATGTATGTCATGATGTTTGGGGTCCTTGCCAGTTGTATACAAGTTGCGAACTGGAGCTTGATCATTGCGGTCAGCTGATCAAGTAACCTTGGGGCTGATACTGGCTCACAGATCATCGGGGCAGGAGCTACAACTACCTCCAGCAAGTAGCTCCCATTTTGGATAATTCAATGGCCATTTCAGGAAGTCATTGATTGGAGGTACCTACCATATGTAAGGCCTATTTTTTAGGCCCAAATTTCAGGGAATATCCCACAAAATATGGCCTTTTATGGTACAGTACCTCCATTTTAGGATCCTGGAGATCTCCCATTGATAAATGTCCCCCAAAATCAGCGATCATTCCTCGGAGTCGCATCATCTCCATTTCCGGGAGTTGCTAAACTATACTTAGATGGGCCATGGGAGTAACTGAGTTAATAGCCCACAAAAAAAATCCAAATTAGAATCCATTTACTAACTAGATCCCATATAATCCAATGATAACCCAATTATAGTTCATCCCATAGATCCCATTATAGTAATTATAATGCCAATTAATAATCCAATAGTTAACTAGCTCCAGGAGCCTCACATCGTTGCAGGACACTAATGGATCGCAAACCGCCACTGCTGGCAAAGCGGCCGCTTCATCGGCCGCTTCCGCATGGGGGGTCAGCGGAAAAAAAAAAAGAGAGAGATGTAATCAGATGCACTGGAGAGATTGACCATGATGAATCCACGAATCCCACCCGATGATGAAACTGGTGCTTGATCAACGAAAATGATGCTTCAAGTGAGAAGTAAAAAAAAACAAATTTGTTGTTCAACAAAAGAATTCATCATTAATCACTTCAAGATGCGATTCAACCTGCAAACCTAGGATTACTTTACCAGCAATAATCCCTTCTTCCTATTACTAAAAACTACCCAAATAGTAAAAACTACCCCAGATTGATCGTTTTGAGAAATTTCAGATTGGTCAATTTGACTTTTAATTGATCCTCTTAGAAAACTATTTAAACATCAAGGTCCAATTTGAAGGTTCTACCCCCTTAATAATGGAAACTAGTTAACCCCAGGTTGTGTTTCATTAAGGTATGTTTTTTATCGAGCATGTTAGTTATTTTTAATATTCAGGTGTTGAATCTAATATTAGGGGAAAGCTTCGAAAACCATTTTTTGACAATATGTTAATTAGTTTTTAAAAAGGAATATGTCGATTTTGAAATCAAAAACTTTAGTTACGAGTAAGGTGTTTAATTTAATATTAGGGAAAAGTGTTGAAATCCAATTCTTGACCATATTTTAATTGGATTTCATAAAGGAATTGATCGATTTTGAAATCGAAAACGTTAGTTTTTGTAATTAATTAAGTTTTTTTGGGGGGTTTTGAATTTAATGTTAGGGGCCAGCTTCTCCCCCAAATATTAAATACCCCTAACAACAACTAGCCCTAGGTTTTTGGGGGACGTTTCATCTTGGGGTGGATTAGTGGGGAGTTCACCATCATGCATTCACTAGGGGATAGTCCGATTTTTTTTAGCGTTCCCCACCATGGATAACCCACCGTTTTTTAGTAGGAGTTGCTGACTGAATGGGTAGTCGTCATCAACTGATGGGAAAACTAGATTTGTCTAAATGTGTTTAAAAACATGAGGGAAAGGTATTTAAAATGCCAAGTGCGCTCGGGGAAAAGGAAGGCTCAAAAACTCCCGTGTAACTAGGCGACATCTGAAGAAAAGTCCCGATTTTCCACATGCAACGACTTCCAAATGTTGAATATCGGAAAATATATCCCAATGTTTTTTCATATCGATATTATAAAATATTAAAAGTATAAAAATATTGAAAAATATATGAATCTCAAAAAGACATCGGAAAACATATCGAAAATGGGATGGTTATTATGGGATGGTTCACTCCCAGAGTCGCTCCAAATGAGTTGGTCCATTGGAAAACTCCCTATCTTCGAAGAGATGAAGATCAATCCATCAGCGCAACGCCATCCAGGATGCTGCCAGGTCGGCAAGAAATAGGATGGCCAGTAAGACTGGCTGGATTCAAAAATAACATCACCTCCAGTCAATGAATTTAGTCCATGTTGTTCAGTTCATATCATATTATATCTTTATATATGTGTATAATATATATATATAGACCATGTAAAAGGACAACCCTTCACCAAGGTTCACTGGGCCTCAGGCTTTTGAGAACGGATTTGCTGGTTTGGCCACCAAATCGCTTTGGCAAAAACCAGTTGAGGTCAGATTTTGTATCTGCTTGACCTTGCCAGAACGAGCCTGGCTAATAAAGTCCATCCCATTGACCTTTGGGACCTTTGGTTGGTTATAGAATGGCATCATGAGGTTTATGGGAGTCCACGTATTTTCCAAGCCTGGATTGGCCTGGATTCCATCAATTTTTTAGTCCAGAAGCCGCCAAAAAGGAGGATCAGTGCAGATCAGGCTGTCAAGATCTTCCCTCCTCGTTGGTGATGACTTTGGGATCTAAGGCAATGCGTTTCACTAACCTCGGCTGCTCGGCTGGAAACCCATGGAACCACGGCACCAACAAAGCACTCCCAAGAATCTCTCCTGAAATGCCGCAAGGAGCGGTGGATTTTTTTGGGGAGTGAAGTCACAATGAATAAAAAATATATATATATATAAATATATATATATATTGTATCTCAACAGGATCATTTCACCAACTTTTACCCTGGTACAAGATGGTACAAGTATCCCAGCGAGACGAGTGACCCCTGGATTCTCTGCTGTAATAAGATACAATTTTTCACTGGTGAAATGAGGTTGGGTATGAAAACGTGGCAGTTTCAAGCAGTAAGTAATGTTCCGGTTTTTGAGTTTCTGCCCAAGCTTTCCCAATCTTTTCCTCACTTGGTCACATTGGTCTTGATCCACCATGAAAAGGATGGGTCGCAAATGCGTGGTAACTCGGTCGTATCCCAATGTTTATGAGTATTATCTATAAATGTATCAATGATTGTCAATGCGTATCTACAACATACCAAAAAAAACCACTCAATCAAACATGGCTAGCTGGGAAATCCCCTACAAATGGCCAGCCATTTTGAAATGGGAAAATCTGGGCACTGCATAGGCACCCGGACCCGCGCGCCCGCGCCATGAGCTCACGGTTGGGTGCCTGCTCCGCAATCGCTGGAAGTTACAGTTGATCTTTTTGGGGGGGTTGAGGCCACCAGACTTCCAAACCCACTTGTTTGGTATCTGAACTATCTGTGTTGGAGCGACAAGTGGCAATAAGAAAGGGGCTATGCGGCTATGCAGCTAAAAAAGTGGGGGGTCCACAACTTTTCGTGGGTGAAGCAAGTAAAAATAAGACTGTACTGGGAAAGAACAGTGAATCATAACCTATTGTGGCGTCTGTCACCTTGAATAGGACATACTGCAATCATCTCAAGGTGAGTTAACTGGGCTGGTGTTCAATCCTAAATCTTTAGTTTCTATCCAATTAAGAGATTCACTTAAGATACAGCGGTTTTTCCCAACATGGAAGCTGGATAAAGAAGTGGGGCACTTCGCGCATGGATTCCCTTGATTTTTCACCCTTCCTCATAGAATCAGGATTTATGGATGTGAAGCCCAAAACATATTCCAAAATATGGCATATAGACATCTATAGACATCATATAGAATGTATACAGTAAGCCTGGATATGCCTGGATCTATCGCCATATCATGCGATGTCTATCAAATAAGTCCACAACAGAAGTGCAACTCGTGGCCTCGCATGAAAATTCCACAGCAACCGCTGGTCCCGCTGGTACCCTTTATGGTATGGATTGGGCGGAGCCCATCGTTTCAACCTTAAACACCATGATTCACTATGACTTTGCCCACGTATTGTTCAAGATAAATAATATTTGGGTGTCAACATGTTTCAACTCTTCTTTGTTTCAATCAAGATAAACAACATTTAACTCTATCAGTAGTTTGAATCCTCGGCTTTTGCTTCAAGTTCTCCCCATTTTTGTCGCGTCAGGCGCCCCCCGGGGGCACCTTGTCAGACGCCCTGGCACAGGGAGCAAAGGCTGGGATTTTCATCACGAAACGCCTGGCTGATCACCTATGACTTATGACATTGGATCGAACTTGGATCTTCCTAAACAAAAAAAAAAACGGATCATAGGCCTGGAATCATAATGAATTGATCAGTTGCTTCATAGGAACACCAGAACTTTGACCGACCTCTCCGCATTGGAGAGCAAACCTCCACGGGGCAGGGGACACTGGAAGATTTGGGGGTGAGTTCTGTATATCAGTCCATTCCAACTTAATAAGTAGTATCTGCATCATATACATTAGCAATCATTAATATAATACATATGATATCATATGATTACATATGCTTACATCACTGTACATCTGTGGATATCTATGGATACAAGTACAGTGACCAACGCGTTGCGGATAGTGCACCCCAGCAACATTCAAAAGAAGCTTGTTCCATGTTCTTCTCATCCTAAGGCTTCTTGGTTAGGAGCTGCATCACCAACTAGACCCGCCTGTGTTCGAATCCACGCTTTTCACGTGCGAGAAGACCTCGCAGGGTCAAAGCGCTGACCAGCAAGGTGAGGGATGGCTCCAGCAATCATGGCTGGAGAACCCCCATCAAAAATGGAGCTTTATAGTTTATAGCTGGGAAAATCATTGGCTACTAAAAACATGTTCGGTCGCCATAACCGACCATATCATTTCTATCATCTTAAGTAAGCGTATAGAAAGTAGCTTTAGCTGAGATATCCTCGGAATTCGCCAATCCATAAAATATCTCATAATATCTCGAACCATCCAGCAGGCCCTCGCCTCGTCCAAACAGGTGGGTTGCCACCCGCCCAGTAAGGTGCTAGTCTTGCAGGTTTGACGACCTCGAGTCCCATTTTTAGGGCAAGCGAGGTTGGATTTTTCTTTGGGAAGATGCAGATTTGCCAAGAACATGTGACTAAAGTCACTAAAATTGGGATCTAATAACATGACTGAACGAAAAAAGGTCAGTCCAAATATCAGAATTGAATCTACCAAGATGGTGGCGAGATGTTTTGAGGATGTTTTGCCACGTTCAGTGATGTATGCTGTGTTCATGTGAACATGTGCATGTGCCACACAGAAAAAAAAACTCAAACAAGCAATACCATATTCTTTATTCCGTACATCCTCATTTCTTCAAATGTGGCTAAAAAAGGCAACATAAAATATGAAATTCTTAGATGTACTCACTCATGATATTGATATTCAACTACTATCTGGCTAAACTCCGATATCTCTTCAGCAAAGCCCGCTTTATGCGATGTCATTGGACTCCGGCCGCGTTGTCGAAGCTCAGGAGGACTTTCGCCTCAGGAAACCCATGGATTTCACCGATTTTTACCCAACCGGGTAAACGTTAACAAAAAGCTATTGAAAATGGCCATAGAAATATATAGTTGATTTACTCATGAAAATAGCATGGTTCTTTCTATAGTTATTGTAAACGTTTACCAGAGGGTATCCAAATGATTTTTCCAAATCTGCTTTCTGTAGTTCTCATTTCGAAGCGCTGGGAGTTGTCGATCCGCTCAAAGTTGAGTTTTCACTGATGGGAAAACATATCTTTTCGTCCAAAAAACGTGGGCATCTAGTTGTGTATTGAAAAAACAGTTAGGATTTCAGCCGTCAAAGCTTCACTAGAAATTGGATCTCCATACCACTGGAAATTCAACGCTGGATTCCCATCTGCCCATGCTCAATTTACTATCTATTTAGACTTCAGATATTTGACCTTAAGATGGAACCCAATTTGTTGTTTTTTGTCCAATGTTAGTTTTCGGGAGAGTACCTTTAAGCATTTGCATTTGGAGAATGCCAGCAGTTCATCCGATGCCGATGCAATCAACTGCGACCCCGAACCTCGCACCATACTCGCGATGTCCTCAGGAAACATTGCGCCATTTCTATCCATCCCGGAACGGGGAATTCAGATGGATTCAATGATTGGCTGAGTCCCAAGCATTGCTGAAAAAGAGGAACCACCAGTACTTATTGTACTTGCAAGTGAGTTGGCTCAAGACGATGTCTTCTCTAGATATGGCATGGTTGACTCTGCAGGGTGCATATATTCAAACTGGCACATCTAAATGTGTGCTGGTAGTCCAATGTGGTCCCAGCTATTGTTTAGTTCTTTGATTTACCTATTCATCCTATTCAAAATTGAGATGTTCCAGTTCGCAAACTGTTAGTTTACAGTTAAAAAACAACAACAACAACAAGAAGTACAAGTTTACAGTTGATTTTTCCCAGTTCGCAAACAAAAAAAACGTTAAAAAAGAACTCGCGCTGCACCGAGTCCCCCCAACGCTGTTGAGTTGAAGTGAAAGGCGGCCTCCCGCTGTCACAGGGCTCATCCCTGGGCGAAGTGGTCCCGGGGTCCCAGGGTCCCATATGAGTGGCTCAAGTGGCAGTGCTTCAAGGTTATTGACGGTGATTGACCCTCAAAATCTATATATATATATTATGTATATAGATATATATAGATATAGATATAGATATAGATATAGATATAGATATAGATATAGATATAGATATAAAATCAACATAAATCAACGATGTTTAAAATCAAATATCACATAAAATATGATGAAATATCATAAATGTTTGGCCCTCAAACAGTTCCCCATTCTTAGGTTGCCACAGGTCGCCACATCTCCATCGAAATGTATGCATTCACAGCTGGAATTGCTCCCTATCTTTGTGTCGCTTCCAGATGCCCCCTTGGGTAAAACCACCATTTTGTAGAGGTCATTTGAAATTTGAGATTTGGTCGAAATGCCCATTCTTTCAGTGACCCAAAAGATCCCATCAACTCGGTTCATGTCAGAAAAATGCAGTTCATCGCAGAAGATGTGGTTTTCTAGCATGCAGTTCATGTTAGTTTTCATGTCAGAAAAAACACATCTTCTGCGATGATTCCCCGATTTGTGTTCAGCGTCACGGAGAGTTCCCATGGATCATCCGTGCCTCCAATAGGACCACGACTGGGGCGGTGGTGCACGGGCAAACTCGGCCTGCGGAGAACTGTGGCGATTGAGGATGTCACCAAAACAAAAAGCGGGTGTGACTGACAATAAGGTTGGATTACCATCTGGTTATTTAACATAGCCATGGAAAATATCACCATTTTTTATAGGTAAAACATCTATTTCTATGGGTCATCTATACCATGGCTATGTTAAATAATTAACCAGAGGGTAAACATGCGTTGCTGTTTTAAACCAAAAGAAGGTTTTACCATCCGAAAGGCGTTGGGTAACAGTTTGACAAAAAGATATGTTTCTGGTCATTTCAAAGGTGCAAGTTCCAGCAAAGCATGTAGGAATTTACCGTGGGCATCCACCTCAACCAATCTTCCGCGGATTGGTTGGATTGAAGATGATTGTGGTGAGATTCTGAAAATCCCAAACTTTGTTTTCAGCATATGAAATATATAAAATAGAGAAGTCCTTTTGGATTTTCCCTGATGGCCTTGAAATTAGGATTTTCATGGATTTGCATTCGCACTCCTTTGGGGCACAGCCTCGGAACAAAAATCTCAGGCTCCACATGGCTCCACACATGCGAACACATGCGGGCAGCAAGATCTCCATCCGCAAGTCTGATAGAACCAGCAAGAACCATCAAGTCTGTGGGAACTGTAAAAATTCCAGGAGTTCTTTGGGCTTTTTACTCATCACCTATCAACTCCTGGATGTTTTGTCGTCTTTTTGGGGACCCTCGGAACCTGGTAAAATCATTGGGCCCTCCCACCACCGATAAAATCTCTGCCTACTCCGATGCAACTCCGGCTGGCCAATGGGTTTCACCCCCTGGTCAGGAGTCAATTCTGAGGCCCTGAGTCAGGATGTTTTGGATCAATCAGATGGTTTTGACAACTGATATCTACTCCAAATCAATAGTTAATTAGTTAAGTGTTTGTGTCTTGTGAAATTGATTAGATTCAGACTCTGCAAAACGATGAACATGTTCAAAGACTCAAGATTTAACCGAACGTCATTCTTTCCACCTAAACACCTGGCGCCGGAAAACTCAATTCTGGACCAACTTGTTAGCTGTTCGATTCTTTTGGGCCGAGAATGTGGGTAATCAAATCTTATATCATCTTATATCCTCTTTTGTATATTATTATATATTATTCTTTGGGGTAATGAACATCCATAGCTACTAGTTTGCGGATTGAAAAGCAGAGTACCAGGATTGAGAATGTGTATTGTGTCTTACATGTGGTCTGAAATTTTAGGGGAACACCATAGAAAACCCCTAAATCCCATGGTGGATCATCATTTTCCCTAATAGAATGCATTAGAAAAATAGCAAATTTGTGGAGAAACCCTGGACTCAAACAGGTGCCATTTCTGCCCCGTGCAGCTTCGCGCCTGAGGCGTGATTCTCTGCATGGGTCGGGCAAATTTCCTGAAAGACGAGTGCGGCACTAGGGTCGAGTCATTGGTTTTGTTGGAAAGTTCTGCCAGCGCCACATTTATTTGGGGTTACGGTTCCGGGTTCAATTTTCCCAAATGATTGGTGAGTCGACACCCGAAATGCCTCTGTTCTACCTGGAAAAATTGTGCTCTGCCTTTCAGGGAAAAATATGTCTCCCGAAATCAGCAGCGCAACTCTTTGAATTGTCAAGGATTATGCGTCAAAATTGAGTACCTAAAAAATGGGATACACATGGATACATAACTCCCCCTTGAATTCTGACCCAATCGGCCAACTTCACAAGTCGAATTGGAGGCCAAACTTAATTATTGGGTGTGGGTTTAAGTTGTTCCACCAAAGTTGGATTTCCAGTCAAAACATATCTCCATGGTCCTGGTAGATGATATGAAAATAAACCTGTCCATTCATACTCTGGCCTTCCCTTGTTGTCGCTTTCTCCTTTGATGTTGATTCGCTCCACATTGGAAAACCCGACACCATGTCCTCTTGCTGCTACACCTCCCCATGTTTCAATGATGCAACATCTTCCCAATCATCTAAAAACATCTAAAAACAACTAGAGTTAATTCTTAAACTTAGTTAAGTTGTTTTCATATTATTTTCTGGGTCAATTTTCCCAGCCGTCCCAGATTGGTTCCAACTAATTCCAACCATCCAAGCTGCGACACCGTCACGGTGCTCTCAGACGGGCTGGGAGCTCCTTGTGTTCCAAAAAACCATCGAAATCAACAGCTGTTTCCTGGTTTTGGGGGCTGTAAGAATGACCAGTTTTATCCTTATACCATCTGGTTATGACTAACAGTTCGCCATGGTTTTTCGATGGCCCTAATTGAAATAGATGGTATTAGATGGTTTACCATTCTTAAAAATGGTGGATCTGTCCATGGCTATGTTAAATAGCCAGAGGGTATATGGCAAATTGTTCTGGCTGTACGTAAAACCTCTGGAAAAAAGTGAGAAGATCAGTACCTGAGGCCCATGAATTTGGAGAATTGTCGCCCTGGGAAAAAATCACAAAGACGGCTGGTTCCAAGTCAGGAAAGCAACATCGACCAATTCAAGCAGCACCCAAAACCTACCGAAATCTACTTTTAAAATCTGAATTGGCACCTTGTACCCCAAGTTTCCTCCCATTTGTTGTGGGCAATGATTGAAACCATCAGCCAACTGGCTAATGTTGTTGTTTTAGTCCCGATTTTGGAAGCCACCAACCAGTGCTATTGCAAAATTGAAACCGGCAAACACTTCATCTACGATTGCATGATATGTGTCATCTTTCTCCATGGAAGCAGTACCTTCCATGAACATCCACACACCAGAAACCTTCAGAACATCGGCGGTAGCTTCACCGATCCACGCAGTTGTCTCACCGGAAGTTTCCATCTGAAATTGGGATCGCAAATTGGTGAATTGTTTGAGGCAGACTGAGTGGGATGCACATAAAGCCAATTACATGGTACCTCCTATTTCCTCTATATACACATTGCCTGAGCAACTACCAAACCAAAAAGGCGTTGCTTTAAACCAGTCAGAATAGATTTTTGTGCATATCCCGTTCTCTGTTTATCCCAACTTTAAGGGATGTTCTAACGATTCTAAGCCAGTTACTTACAGTACAATTGATTTTATCTTAAAATAGGGTTCCCAAATTTTAATGTCGTTTGATCATTTTCCTTCTTAGGATATAAATTGAGATATGACCAGAGTTGGTTAGTTGCATCACATCCCGAATCCCCAGTATATCCCCATTGTATCCCATCATGAAGAGGTGGAACCACCAGTTTTCAGAGAACCAAAGATCACATATATTGTTGCTTCATGTTGTTTTCATGTTGGTTCTATATTCCATCATATAATATATATATATATCATATGTCCAATTGCCGTTGGTTTCTAGCCCCATCTTTGGAAGAACCAACGAGTTTCAATCTTAGGGATCCAAGGCCCAGAGTCCGCCTGAGCTGCGTGTGGCTTCACTCGCCGGAGGAGCGTTGGGCAACTGTTCCGGTGCCGATGGAGGCAACCCTTGATGCCTCGATCGTTGGTCAACTTGGCATGTTTGGTGTGGATATTTTGACCCAACAAAAAAAAAAGTTGGGGCTTTTTAACTTTTTAACCAATAGAAAGAATGGATTTAACAAAATGCGGATTTGATCTTGACTTTAAAGAAATTCCCAAGAAAAGATATGGGTTCTCTCTCAGTAATCTAAGCTTGCAACGGGAAAACCTCCGAAGGAAATAGACAACTTTCCATTCCCAGAGTGGATAAAAAATAGCCGGCGAGTAATGAACCCCAAGAAAAGGGACCCTAAAAATCCCTAAAATGATAGATCAAGTGTCAAAACAAGCTCACAACGGCAGAGTGTGTAAGGGATTGCTTGGGAACATGTTGCGGTGGAACGAGGTCAAGTCGTGGGGAGGTTTTTCCATCGTGAAGCGTTTGATCTACTTCCCACCACCGAAGTCTGACATCATTAAGCATGCTTTTTCCTTGGTGGGGTATGCGCTGTGTGTGTGTGATGATTGGATCTTTTTTTACAAGTGTGTGTGCGTGATGAGTCTATTAAAGTGAGTTCACTCTTGGCATTCCCGTTGCCTTGCCTCAATTCACCTGCCAGACCTTGGGGATAGGGCCACATCATGCCCCATCCCGTCTCCCCTGGTGCTGGGGCATCCCCACTTGCTCCAGAGACCCAGGATGCCGTCATGGGAACCCACTGCGATGACGTCTGACTGACTACCTGGGGATCAATGAAGGGAAGGGGACCCAAAAGACACCACCAAAATTTGGTCATTTCCTGGAATACAGTGAATACAGAGGAATCATGGAAGAATCTGATAGTTAAAATCCAATAGAAAATCAAGGAAAAATGAAATAAACCATATCAACCAACTTTGGAATTGATTTTGACCCAAAACCAGCTGACTTGAAGATACGTGGCAGGGTTGCAGGGATCGACATGTCGATTGGCGTATCCACGGGGTGTGGGTCAGGAAGATACGACAAAATGGGGATGCAAACAACCAATGTCTTCATCTGGATTATGATTCATAGATGTGTTTTGCTGATGCACAAAAAACATTTGGAGGTGTCCTAAAATACCCTCTGGTAAACTAACATAACTATGGAAAATCACCATTTTTATAGGGGTAAATCAACTATTTCTATGGCCATGTTCAATAGCTGTTTGTTAACGTTTACCAGGCCGGGTATCTTCGGGGTACCCCAAACCAGCCACCATCCAGACACCAAACTCACGAACCGAGCGACTAAAGGTGGCCGTTCTGATTGACTCGCTGCCACACACGGCCTCGATGCCAGCGAGTACCGGCAAAGGGGGGTCAATTTATGGGTAGAGAATGGTAGACCCTCTGGTTATGACTAACATAGCGAACTGGAAAATCCATGAAAGAACTGGATGTTTAAATGGGAAAATAATCTGTAATTGTGAGCCATGTTCCATAGCTATGTTAAATAAGCAGAGGGTAGTACCATCTAAATGGGCATATCATACAACCACCCAATCATAGTAAAGAGGGATTATAACATATTACAACCAGCCTAAATAGGGACTAATGATGAACTATCATGATTTATCCCACAGCGTGGTGTTTTGGTTCCTTAGCTAAGTTGGTGTACATATATATATATATATACGTATAATATACGTATATATATATATATACGTATATATATATACGTATATGATATCACCATAGGCTACCTGTTGGGTTTTAAGTTTAAAGTGGATTATGATAATCCCCGATATATCATGTGGGTGGGTCAATAACCCCCGAAGCCAGTGCCAGGGTTTTTGAAACTGCTCGCTTGAGACCCGAATCCATCAAACTATTGTGATGGTTGTCATAAAACTCAGAAAGGTATCTACTAGTAGATGACCACAGACAATCATCTCTGATCACAATTTGATTACCAGGGTTTTCTTTGGTTTGCATTTGTAGATATTTGTGCATCGTCATCAAAAGTGACAGTGACGGCAAACGCACCCATTTGTTGAAAGCAATAGATTTGTGTAAACATGCCTGCATACATATATATATATATATACTAAGCATAACATCACCACACCAGCGCATCATGCAATCATAAACTGCTGTTCTCAGCATCGAGAATCGACACAGATTGAATTACTGGAGGAGCCTCCAATCGCTGATGCATCTGCAGCTCAAATTTCTTCAGCCTGAAGGAACAAACAATTTTGGAAAAAAACATGGGATTGTTTTATTTTGGTATATCATTGGATTTACCGTGGTTTTTCCACCATTGTTTTATTGTTGTATATCATGGGATTTACCACCATGGAATTGTTTTACCCACGGGAAAACCATACAAAAAGGTGGTAAATCCCAGGGTGCAACCAGTGGATTCTCCCACCCAATGTCAACCCCGGATTAATAAACCATGGTTAATTAATTCGGGGGGTATTCCCCCAATAGTCATGATTTGATACTTAAATGGTACCTTCCCAATTAAACAGCCTAGAGGTTTATTAATCCAGGGTTGACATTACTTGATGTTACTTGTAGGCATTGCTTCCCACAGCATTTTTTTTGGTTCTGTTTCGATCCCTGCAGGCTTCATCCCCATTTCGAAACCCAACAGTTTCGTGAAACAGCACTGGGTTCATTTCTATTGGGGTCACTGAACACCCGCCGTGGAGTTTCTGAACTTGGTGGAGACCGCAGAGAGGTCTTGGCGGTCTTTTATTGCTTGAATTACAAGTGTCATTGACGCTGGTGTAAACCATAGGTGGGCTAGTGATTAATAGTGGTTAATAGTGGTTATTGTTGGTTATTAATACCTGATCTAATGAATAATATATACTGGTTGGTGGTTTCAACCAACCCCTCTGAAAAATGATGGAGTTCGTCAGTTGGGAATATTATTCCCAAAATAAAAGCCATGTTCCAGTCACCACCAACCAGTCATTTTAGCTGCGGGTCAAAGCCCTAGTCCAAATGGTACCATTGGTACCATGGTTTTCACCAGAGCTGGCAGCGAAATTGATGTTCATCCCCCCAGAAAAAGGTATAGCTGGCAGTAGTAAGAACAATCCCCTTTTTGGCTGATGGCCATGTACTGATGGCTGTGCTTGGGAAACTCAATTCGTAGCTCACCGCTCCCCAAGCTCTCGGGAATATGGATGCCGCTCAGCTCACCCCTTCCATTCACCACTTCATATACCTAGAATCAACATGTGTTTCTTTTTAAATCCTGTATGATACCATAATATCCCCACAGGATGGTAGTTATCATCAACCAACCAACCAACCAACCAACCAAGGTTTGCTTGAACCCTGGGAAAATATCGTGCTCCCAAACGATAGACTTCGATGTTTCAATCGGATTGTAGTTCGATGATATTTCCTCTATCATTTCCAGGTCAGAACTATGACATTCGACTGTAATACCATGTGTAACTATTACCCTCCAGTAAGCTAACATTGCTATTTAAAAAAAATGAACCATGTATAGATGGTTTACCTATTAAACTAGTGGTCTAAAAAATAGCTATGTTAGTTCCCACCGCCGTCCCCAGGCAACTGGTAACGAAACCACTTTTTTGTTTTTTTGTTAAAGGGTTTGGGGTGGGGGGGATGTTAACGTCCCTGTCAACTTGCTCACGTCATGTATGCTTCGTGAACTTCGGGGTTGGCTGGGATATATATATATATATGTATACATATTACATATACATATATATATACATATACAATTACATTCACATTTAGATACATATATATATGTAAACATATGTATACATAGACATTAATTTTCACAATTATATACATATAAATATACATATATTCTTGTAAATATGTATACATATATATATATATATAATAATGTGTATATATATACATGTATTTACATTTATATACATATAATATATTTGTTTTATGTTTAGACATGTGAAATTAACTTGTCGGAGAATGCTAGGGTCTTCACCTTTCTTTTACATAACTAAGATCTTCAAAAAAAGTCCTTCAACGACGGAAAAAAAGCTTCCGTCGCCTCGCCGAGACGTGCACGCGCCAAACGGTGAGCTCGGCAGCCACGGATACCAACCTGTCGGGACTTGAAGACCCTTGGGCCCTTGGGTCATGGGAATATCCACTACCCTGGGGCCCTGGGGATAAAAGTCTATAGGGATCTATAGGGAATATCCATTACCCTCTGGTAGTTTAACATAGCTATGGAAAGATCCACCATGTTTAATGGGTAAATCCACTATTTCGACTGGGCCATTTTCAATAGCTTTTTGTTAACGTTTACCAGAGGGTATGTCATGTGGGGATATGAGGGGTAAAGGTTTACATCATAGATGTCCGGGTCCCCGTACCAATTTCCGTTGGCAGAGAAGGCACAACAGCGCAGCCCCGCGCGGTCGCAGCGCCTTAGCCAGCAGGAAATGGTAGTTCAAACATCAGAATGAGAATCAGCTAAGAACCATTGGGATTGAACCATCATTACCGTTGGGATTTAATCAATTAAAATTGGTGCTGTTTTTTGGAAAGATGGGGCGTTTACCAATGGGCTAAAGCATATTTGCAAAAATCATCTGACACCATTGTGTATTCCTTTGCAAGGTCTGGTTTCGTTGGAATGACTACCAGCTCCTTTCACTCCCGTGTCCAAGTCTCTAGTCTTGGCCATCCAACAGTCAACCTTGACACCAAAATCTTCTTGTTGGTGGCGCAATAACCATCTTGAAAATTATGAAAGTCAGTGGGGAGGATGACATCCCATATATAATGGAAACAAAATGTTCCAAACCACCAACCGGTCTTGATTTGTGTTGATTCTTTTTCTAAGCTGGTGTGTATTGGCTATAGTGACATCCACACAGTTCTTGGGTTATTTTTTCCCTGACTACGTGTGAATCTCCCCCAAGTTTGACCCAGATACCCAATTGTTGGTGAAACAAAGAAACAAATCTAAGAGCCAAGAAGAACAAAAAAACTACCAAACTATTGCATATTGTTGCATGTGCATCCCACCTTCAAACTGCATATTATATATGTAAATATATATATATATATATAGCTGGTGTATCTCTCATCCCTATGGCTGGCTGCGCACGGTTAACATCAATCCTGAGCCCCTGACAATTCATGCACGTGCTGTTCTAAGAGCCAGGTGTTCACATGCCACACTCGAAGACATTGATCCTGGCCCATTTTTAACTGGGCAAAGGGTGAAACCTGGTGAAATCTGCATGTAATATGATACAATAGCATATTTGTCTATATATATATTAATATATAATAATAGTGAATATCTATATATATATAGTCATATTTTGATAATAGTGAATATGATTATAAATTTGTAAACACATCTGCCATGCGAACTGCCAAGCTTTGGCTTCAAATAAGCAAACATACTCCATTTTTTAAATATAATATATATATATATTATATATGTATATATTTGGACCGGATAGAGAGATGGCAAGTTGGCATTCGCTACTCCAACCGGTCATTCATAGTCTGTCCCATCCATCGAGAGCAGCTAAAAAAATGGCCAGTGGTCCATCAGTGATTCTTAAACTTGGAACATAATCAACAAATTGTTTTCCTAGTGGGACAAATTTGTAATCATATTCACTATTATCATATATATATATATATATAATATAGATAAATATGCTATTGTATCATATTACATGCATAGTTACATGCATAGTTACATGTTGTTGTTGTTACTATTGTTATTATCAGTAGTGTTATCATATGTTATCATTATATATCCCCCACAAAATTCCAGTTGTAAAAGGGGCGCAGTGCAGCAGTTCCAGACCAATTCGCATCTCTAAACTTATCGAAATGCACAGCACTTTTACCTAAGCGGTTTGAAATTTCGAAAAGGGTAGCTCTGATTTTTCTGACCGCAGTTTTTCCAATCAAGTTTGGAACCGCGAAGTGTTTTATCAAGTTTTATCTCAACACTTGTTGCTTAAGTTGTATCAAAGAATTTGATCTCACTTGTTCCTCACGAGTTATTGAATAATCATATCAAAGATCAAATTTACAATAACCATCATATTATGGTTGGGAAACTCAATGCTCACCGCTCAGCTCGCCGCTCCCTCCACCACTGGATACTTAAAATGAACATCTATTTCACATCATATCTCATCTGTACATAATTATCGTATCATAATATCCCCACAACATGGGAATTATCGTCAACGAACCACCTAGTGGGTAAACCCAAACAAAATCGTGTTCCCAAAGATAGACTTTCATGTTTCTAGGAAAGTCCATGAGGTTTAATTAAACATATTCTCCCCATCATAATCATTATATCCCCATGATATCCCCATGATGTCCTCATAATTCCTGTTAACTTATGATATTCCATGATAGTCCATTGTTATTTCTATCCGAAAAAATCTACAAAAAATATCCCATGATATGTATTTCCCCATAGTCTCATGCCATGTTTCCAACTTCTCCAAGTGGTGGTGGGTGGAACACCCCACTGGATCCACACCTTGCTGCAGGACACCAAGCGCGGGTCGTAGGGCGCCCCTTGGGGCGATGCCGCGATGGAACTGACGGTGGCCTCGTGGGCGTTCAGCGTCTTCTCCTTGGAGCCCAGTGGGAGATGATGGGATCCAGGGATCCATTGATCCATAGTGATGGATATGATTTTTGGATCCATGGATATGATGAATATGATCTATATAGATCCATAGATTCATCATATCTATATATAATATCTATGGATATTATGATCTATATAGATCCATAGATTCATGGGGATATGATTTTTAGGATATGATGTTCATGGGGATTTCCATGGGGATATGGATTTTTCATGGGCATTCCTGATTTAAATGGAATTTCACTGGATTAAACCATGGGAATTTCATGGGGATATGATTTCATGGGGATACATCTTCCTGATTTTTCATAGGATCCATAGATGTTCATTTTTCAACAATCACCAATACGGAATGGGGATATTTCTCCATGATGATTTTTCATAGGAAATTGGGTGATCTGATGAGATTTAATGAGGACACAATTGAGATATGATGGAGATCTGTTCATGACCTTCGGATGGGATAACATCTTAAGGTTGGAACATCAGGGAATTAAATCCAAGCATCAAGAATGGAGGTTTGGCTCGGTCTAATCATCAAACACATGGATTTAACCAATCACTGGATCAAAATTCAGCTAATTCAGCATGAAACAGGGAAACAAATCAGGGCTTTTGGTCAAATTGTTGAAGAAGTAGCAATGGACTCACATGTTTTTTGCTCTCGAAACCATCTAATTTTGGGGCTCAATAACTTTGACCTGTATCCAAATCATGGATTTGTTTTAACTCCAATGAACTAACCATGGTTTTTTTTTCAAGATGCAAACGGGGAACCATGAGATGACCAGGTGACCATGGGAATGTTTGAAATGGTGAGAATCGGTAAATTGGAATCACCATGATCAACCAATGAATTCGGAAATCGCCATATCTGCCTTGGATCCTAACGGGGCTTAAGATGACCATGAAATCTTGGGGCATCTGCCAAAAATCAAGGAGATTTTTGAAGGTTTCCAGTTCGTGTTTTCTCACCAATTCAGAAACCGGAACATACAGCTGAGACCCCCAGCCAATGACAAGGAGAAAGCATTCCAGATTTGCATCTGTCCCTCTGAGAATCCGCAAATGATCCTTGCAGGGAAGGAAGGCATCGGAGATTCCTACAGTAGTTCCAACACGACCTAGGCAAAACCTCAAAGGAACAAGGCCCTGTGAGTGGACGGGGACTTTCTAAATTTCCACAGATTTCCAATCTTCAATGAATTTTCAAAGCCCTAAACCCCAATTTCCAGAGATTCCACAGATAAATCGCTGAGTTTCAATGGACCCCTTGCCATGATCTTTTCGTCATCCGCCACTTGGATAGCTGGGGATATCCTATCACCAATCCATTGTAATCCCATAATCATGGCTATGAAACTGGATTCTCAGATTATGGTCCTTGCATGTCAATACCATCCATTGCCTACGTAATATATATATACGTATATAAATATACCCTCTGATTATTTAACATAGCCTATGTAAAATCATGTAAAATCGTATGAATACTATGATATTTTATGATACCTGTTTAAAACATGTTAATTGTCCACTTCGCTACGTGAAAAATTGTCCCAAAGGGTTTCCGAGGCTCCAATAGCCATCCCCCGTGTAGGACAGGCAGGAGGGCCAGGACGTCTGCATTAAGGATCGCGTGCGCTGAGGCACGTCCTAACCGATGGCATCCGATGGCTGGGGCCACAAGAAATGGTAAAAGTCGTAGAAAAACATATTTCATGGTGATCTACTGAAACTCAAGTATCACTGTCACTGGAAAATATTCTAGGATTCTAGGAAAAAATGAAGAAATCGTGGTCTAGCAACGGTTTGATAACGGTGAAGCCGCCCAGTTTGAGTGATGTTTGTTTTGATGAAATGTTGTTTAAGGAACCGATGTAGATCTTGACACACTAGAAAATTTCAAAAAATGACGTCTGTCAGGAGTTTGAGCTTCAAAAATGAAACTAAACCTTCACTTCGCTCTGTTTGCTGGTTTTCACATGTGTTACCCTCTGGTAAACTAACATAGCTATTGAAAATGGATTGAAAATGCCACCTTTATAGTTGATTTACCTATAAAAAAATGGTGATTTTCCATAGTAATCTGAGTTTACCAGAGGGTAATCACTTATGAAAGTCAATGTTGATCATCGCCAGTTCGACACAGCCATTCCTGCCCCCTCCATTGGTCCATTGGCCTGCGTCCAACCGCCTGAATAGTCCATCAGCGAAATGTGGCAATTGCTGAAGGCTGCGAGGTGATTGTCCTGGCCCATAGCCCGTTTTCATGGTTTGGCTTGGGATATGGTGATATTCTATGGAACTGTTGAACTGTTACTGGATATAATTCAGAGATGAATGGAAATATCACATGGGGTGTATATAACATTATATACAGTAAATATAACCAACAATGTGATATCAAGATATATCAAGTGGGATGGACCCAAAATGACAGCATCCGTGGCAACATGGGATCATCCCCAATGACCATGAGAATCCATGCAATTCAGGCCTCGTTGATGTCAGAAAAACTGCAAGCAAGCTTGATCCTAGACGATTATCACAACAAATCCTAATCAACCATCTCTCCAACGTGAAAATACTCACATGGCGACCAGCTTGAAACCACTTGTCCCACATGTTGCACACCAATGGACCTAGTGGATGTCATACATCGACTTCGGTACCCAAAATTGGACATGTTCCGATAGAAAAAACATGTATTTCCATATATTGTCCACTCGCTTTTCCAGAAAAAACAGCCAACCATCCTACCATCACCACATCTTGGATCATCGCACGGATCAAAACCTGCTAACCCTGCTTCAATAAGTCCGAAATTGCTGGATGAGCATTCATTCTTCCACGAAATGGTTTTCATCAAGGTATGCCACCCCACTTTTCCACTATCCCATTCAAATAAGCTTCGGTGGTATCCCCAACAGCCGCAACGTTTTATTTTTACAAATCTTTCTGAAGCGTGCTACGAAGCCAAGCGCTGGAAACACCTCAGCTGGGTTTCCGTGAGTTACAGTAAGTGGCTGCAAATCCCGTTGAACCTGACCTGGCTCTGCACCAAAGCCTCCCAGACCTTCTTTGGAACCCTGTTGAACCTGATCTGGCTCTGCACCAAAGCCTCCCCGAACCTTCCCCCCAATCTTCTCTGGAACCCTGTTGAACCTGACCCGGCTCTGCAAATCCTCCCAGACCTTCTCCGGAACCTTCGGAACCTTCTCCGGAACCTCGTTGAACCTGAGCCGGCGCCTGCACCAGTGCACACCGGAGCTATTCTGGGCTGAAGACCCCCATTAGCTTACGCTGTTGGGGAAAAACAAAAACAAAAAGCCTGGGTTTCAACATCCACAACATCTAACACAACCACAAAATTCCCACAAAATTCCCACCACAAAATTCCATCCCACTGGGCCACGGGGCCAACAAAACCCCCACACCGTCACCAGCTTCGCTCCGCTTCGCTCCGGTCCTGACCCGCTTGGCCTCCAGGATGATCCACCTCCGCCATGGAGGGCGAGAAGGCCACGCAGCACCACTCCGGCGGAGCGTCCTGCCGGGGAAAGCCACGTTCACTGGGCGGTAGGAAGATAAAAAAATGGTGGAAATGGCGATTTCAAAAAAAAAAGTGGAAAATCATAGGATTTAATAGGTATATAACTTTATATAACTCATATAACTGATTATAGCCATGAAAAATAGGCTGTGTTTAAACGAGGGTTACATACCATGGGTTTACACCCACACTTTACGTTTTTTCGCTGAGGCAAAAAAATACGGGGATAGAGGTGGAATGTGCAAAACATGTACCTAAACACTGTTCAGGTCCACTTCCTCACGATTTTTGTGAACTATGTACCTAAAGCAGGAACTTCCATTGCACATTCCACTGGTTTTTTCACTGGTTCTATTCATAGAACCAGTGCTTCTATGGACAGTGACTGTCCAACTAATTCAGGTGGCTCCAGCTGGTGATGCCCCGACAACTGGCTCCATAGCTAAGCTGGTCAGCAATTAGATGATACATAGCTGGTAAAAAACCCATTAAAACTAATGTCATTCACAGTTGTACCTCATGTGTATATCATACCCTACCAGTACTACGGTACTACGTACTTTATCCCACCAAAATCCATGAACAACGAACTAACCTATGGTTCTTGAAAAAAAAAAACGTTGAACTTTCACAAACCCTAGGTTTTGTACTAGGTATCATTCACATCAACTATCTATTCACTGCAGAAATATCCCATGCTTTAAACGTTTAAAGTGGACCGGTCCCACCCGTCCTTGTTGGAGGCCACCTCCAGCGGTCGGGTCTGCACCAACTTCCAGGGAGCTCCACACTGAAAGATCTGCAGCATGGCACCTGGCGGGACTCAACATGTTTAGTTAGTAATGATATAATGATAATTATGGATATATGATATTATTGGATATATATTAAATTTAATTATAATAGTATATTAATGATAATGGATATATTGGGATAAATAATATGGGATAAATTATGAATATATGGATATCCCAATTATATGGTAATAATATGGGATAAATAATTGAGTAATGGGATATGCATATTACTAGTGTGATATATGGATAACATTACTAATGGGAATCACCTGATATAATGATAATGATAATATGGGATATAATATGGGATATGCTTATATTATAATATCCCATCATATCCCCATTATAAAGTGGTATAATATAATATAAAATTAATATATATTAATATTAATATTAATATTTATATTTATATTTATATTTATATTAACATAAATTAAATACAATATTATATAATGCCATATCAATCTATATCATGCTCTTGATCATCTCATGATCTTACGTGGAACATATCAGATATGTTCATGACTTCATGATAAAAATGAGGAAATGACCAGGAATCGTAGGATAATCATAGGATAATCATGCGATATTTATGTCACCAACTTGAGAAACTCAATGCCATAAATGTGCATTTTGGCGATGGTCTATCACTAATTGGGATATGGTGTTTTACTTTAAACACTCACCACATGATTTCAAGAAATATGATCTCTTTGGTGGTTTCAACCCTCTGAAAAATATGAAAGTCCGTTGGGATGATTATTCCCAATATATGAAAAAAATGTTCCAAACCACCAACCAGATATTATTCGCAATGATTTATAATCATTATAATCTTATCAAAAGAAGTTTGGTTCGCAAACTTCCGAGTTACGGACGAATGTCCCTGGCAAGCAGAGCAACAGAAGCTTTAGATCTTATAGTCACTGTATAGTCACTGCTTTCTTTCGAAACTGCCGCCCCTACACGGCCGCGTAATGTTTAGATTTTTAGATACTCCCGAAATGGTTTTGAGAAATAGAGTTTTAATGTGCCACATCACCGGGGTTCATATATGGGTTTACATGGGTTTACCGTAGATGAAAAAACACATAAAATGTTTGTTATATGGGTGTGTCTGAAAATGTCGTGTACCCCTACCTAAACCCAATGGTTTTGCTGATCATTATCCCTATTAAATGGCTATTTCATTGGGAATATAGCCTATTTTCAGACAAACCCATATATCTATCCCCATGGAATATCTCCATCGAATCCCCATCCGGCTGAAAAAATCTGAGGCGCTGTAGCAGACCACCACCCATCGTTGGGAAGGGCTGATGGCTACCTCCTGCGTCGTGTTGTGCAGGTGAAAGTTGTCGTGTTGCTGTTGGTGGTTTAAGGAAAATGGATGAACATGGTAGGTTAATATGGTTTAATAAATTTGATATAGTTTAAGATCAACAAAAACAGAAACCCGTCATGAACTCAGGATGATGTTGGTTGTTGAACTCATAATCCCAATTATTGGTTCTCAAAATTACTTAGAATCCCCATAAAGATCATGTTCATGGGTTAAAATCAACGTTACTTTGTGAAGCCAAATTTCATCACCGGCGAAATCCCCATTGATACCAATCGTTTACCACCAAAAAAAACACATTGTGATTATAATCCACATGTTTCATCGTTGTTGGTTCGCCCGATCATCATTTTTCACTGCTGAAAACTCAATGTTTGATTTGATAACAACATTGAATTGATACCCATGTTTTAGCTTTTACACTGAAAAAAACAACCATAAGACATGTTTGGTGCATGAAGTTCCCTATGTTTTCTTGGTCAAAACCATTAAAAAACCATCATGTTTCTCTAGACATCGCTACCGTCGCCCCAGCATTAACGCAACGCCGCTTCGACTCCTTAGGCTCAGCCCGGCGGCCGCTCTTCAGCTTGGCAGCTTCTGCCCAGCTGGTACTGTCCCAGACCTGGATCACAGGTTTAAACGGTGGAGGTTCAACGAAAATCTCGGAGTTGTTCATGGAAAATGGCATGGAAAATGAATAAAAGCTGCGAGTTTTTTGATGGAAAGCAAGAAATCTAGCTGAAATAATGGGTAGCCGGTAGCCTCTGGTAATGACTAACAGTCAAATGCAAAAAATCATCGTTTTTTGAATTGGTAAATCAGAGGATAGTTTTGGATGGAGCACATGGGAATTTTCATGAATTTTCTCCCAGGTCCCAGGTCATGTGCAGATTTCAACAGACTTCAACAACACTTTGTGATTGAAACAATCAAAAGATGTCGGGGGTTGAAGCAACATAAATGTGGATGGGACCAACAAAGATCGGTGTCTTTTTTCCGGAGCTAGACCACCACTAGTCTTGATAGTCTTGAGTTGGGTTCCGCAGTTGCCCAATGCCAAACTGGCCACGAAATGGAGTATAGAGAATTTCAACCAACAAATTGGAGTTTAGATGAACCAACAGATCGGGGAAAAAAGCTTTCAGAACTAGCCCAGATCTTATGATGTTCATATCACCAACAAATGACAACAAGCAGCAACGGTCGCTGCAATGCGGCGCCGGTCCAACTCATACTGGATTTCTGGGCCCATGTTTGTCGATTAATGCCTTACCCCAGCAAACAATGGCCCTGGTTTAGTGCTGGATAGTTTCTAGACATCTGCTGCGTTTCGCATGCAGGGATATATAGGTTGTTGGTATTGGGGGTCGTACTTATATCCGATAAAACATCTGCTGCATGGTTTTCCCTTTGTAGTTGGAGATTGTTGCAGCATGGACGGATGTAGATGCGTCCCAGGGCAAATAACATATATTTCAATATATTTCACCCGATATTTGTAATGAGGACATAACATGGATTTTATGATTATACAATGTAGTGGACATGTCAATGTTTTTATATGGGGCAAGCATGTGCAACCGCCTATTTAAGAATCAAAGACATACAATGACATACAACTGTTATTTTGTTTGAACACTAACAGTAATATGAACCCCCGAATGTTCATCAGAATCCTATAACACGTCAATATTCAATATTCTATTATGTGGTTGGGACGACCACTGGATAGTATCTATCAATGAATTATCCATTTAGAATCATTTAGATATATTTAGATTAATCATTCCCATTTATTCCCATGAATTATGTTCATTTGGATTTCCCATTGTTTTTAGCATCTATATTATACATATATATATATATATTCTATATATTATATATATTATATATATTATATATATTATATATTATATATATATTATATATTATATTATATATATATATTATATATATTCTATATATATTATATTATATTATATATATATATATTCTATATATATTATATATATATATATATTATATATATTATATATATATTATATATATATATATTATATATATATATTCTATATATATTATATATTGTATATATATATATATTCTATATTATATATATATATATTATATATATTATATTTTATATATATATTCTATGTATATATATATATTATATTATATTATATTATATTATAATATATTATATTATAGTATATAAAATTATGTAATATTATATTATATCATATTATATTATATCATATCATATCATATTATAGTATATTATATTATATTATATATATATATTCTATACAGTCCAGCTGGGTCAAGCATTGGCAGCTGTTCTCCGCACCTTGATGTCCCCCGAACCGGTGCCAGAGACCAGGAAGCTGGCCGAAGAAGTTGGGTTTTTTGTTCCTACCCTCTGGTTACGGTGATTTAACCACTATAAATGGTGATTCAATGGTGATTTAATGGTTTAACAATGGGTTAACAATGGTGAATAATGGGATGATATGGGAATTACCCTCTGGTTATGACTAACAGTTTGCCATGGTATAGATGGCCCTAATCGAAATAGATGGTTTACCGAACTTAAAAATGGGTGGATCTTTCCATGGCAAACTGTTAAATAACCAGATGGTATATCCTACGGATCCCATTGGAAGTTGATAAATGTGTTCGATTTTTTTCCTACTGATTATCCTACGGCTTATCCAACGGCCTAGTCCATTTTTCCGGCCTCGGATCTTAAAAATGAAGACAGTTCTTCAATGTCCAACCAAGTTTTCTATGGTGTGTCTAGATGTATTTAAGCTGCATTTGATGGTTTCAAGTGTTCAGAGATGGGATGTCTCTAGCCTAGGCTGGAGACAAGACGAAAGTGGATGTTATCAAAGGATATCAAAGGTTCAATTCTTTAGTGACATGCATTTACAGATATATAACTAAGCAAGAAGTCAGATGCCGTTTCCTTTTTAGCAAGTCATATTCAACACTGACAAAACCAAGCAGGATGAAAGGTCAAAGGAGAGTCAAAGATACTAGTGTGGTGAACCAAATCTGAAATGTATACTGACATATACTTTCTACATCTAAGTGATACATAGTGATACTTGATGATACTTGTCATGCTATTGTTTGAGAAATGCAAACCACCAACCCAAACTACCAATCGATCAAAGTATGAACCGGCTTCACCTATCAATGCCTATCAATACATCATCAAGGAACTAAGAAGTCCTAAAGCAGTGTCCACACAGAATATTGCATTGTGGTATTTCACCGGAGATCCTCTCCGGGCGCTTGAATGAAGAGAGTTTCAGATTGTGATGTGAGAATGGGGGCTTTTTTACAGAGACACACCAAAAAGTCACGAGAAAGCTGTGACTAAGACCCCAAGACAGACATCTCCCTGGGAAAAACCCCCTGGGGACCCCTGACTGCCCATCGGTGGTGAAGGTTAAACAGCTCACGGAATTGGAGAAGCACGACAACCTCCAGCCATAGAGCGACCAAAGGGAGTTCAGTGGAACAAAAACATATGCTGAAACTGGAGAATTTTCATGACATTTACCCTCTGGTAATGACTAACATAGCTATTGAAAATGGCCATTTATAGTGGATTTACCTATTCAAAATGGTGATTTTCCATAGTTATGTTAGTTTACCAGAGGGATCCATGTGTAAATTAGGGGTGGAACCTGGGTAGCTGCCATTTTATAATGCTAAATGGTTTGTCAGGGGGTACCCCCTCTATAAAGTACTCCTTGGGGTACACTTGTAAAATCACAGGTCTATAAATTGGAAGGTACCCAGGTTTCATTTTTGCAAATCACACTTCTCAGCAAGGTACCGAAATCATCTCTATAAAATGCTCCTTGCCCAAGCCAGTCGCAAAAACCATTTTCCAGCTTGATGGAACTTATGCATTTCATTGCATTTCATTGCATTTCTGTCTCTGGTTGGATTCTATTTTATAGAGGTGAAAATGGCAAACCACAAGTCTGCAGTAGGCTCCAGCCAATTTTTTCTTCCCATGTTCTCAGGCTGTATATATCCCACTTCTCTGTCTATAAAATGGAAATTTGTTGGCTGGACTGCTCCCAGTACCCTACATATCTCTATATAATGGATTTACTTTTTGGATCATCCTTTATTCTGTTGGATTCTTTTCAACTGGATTTGGCTGTCTACCCTGGCATTTCCCTGATCTCTCCCCGTCTAAGGCTACCTGCCCAAGAACCGTTCTCTTCAGATCCAGTTTTCTATTCTATAGTGGTCCTGGTTGAAAAGAGAGGTGGTTCTACCATTTTATAAAGACATATAGTGCAATTTTCTATTCTATAGTGGTCTTGGTTGAAAAGAGAGGTTCTTCTACCATTTTATAAAGACATATAGTGCAGTTTTGAGCTCGCTGGCATTGCTGCAACGGACGACATACCGCTTTATACCGCTGCAATCAAATTGTGTTGATACATGTTGATACAAAACCTTGAAAAAAACAATGCAAACGGGCACTCTATAAAGTGGAAGTTCAGCCACACCACACATGGAAACACCCTATCTATAAAATAGCACCACAACATTGCACAGCCAACATTGTGCTATAAAGTGGAGGCCTGTGTCACCCCTACTAAATGAACAGCTTTCCTGCAGTAAGACCCCAAGTGGCCTCTATAAAGTAGTACTTGCCCAAAAAGAATATAGAAACCATATCCTGATAAACCATTCAAAAACCACTCCAAATATTTGTTTTTTCCATTTTATAGTGCCTAAAAAAATGGTTTAGCAGGGTACCCGGGTCCGACCATTTTATAGAGGAAATGGCCACCAGGATCCAGAGGGTAATGACTGATAGGGGGTTTCCCACTGTTTTTAATAGCCAAGGGAGCACTGAAACGCACAGAGATCGCAACAGGAAAGAGCATTCAGAAGTCGAAATGTGCCTGCAATGATGGTAAAATCTACCTTCCGGGCTTACCAAATCTTGAATTTGAAAGGTATACCTGAGTGAATAGAATCTGTCCAAACATCATTGGGGAACTGTCCTACACCTGCCTGTACCAGGATGACAATCGTTCGTTTTCATCTCAAAATCTAGAACCCCAAAAATCCCACGGCTCATCATCGTATTTTTCCTGTAAGACCTGCCATGTGTTGTGTTTTTTTCCACGTCACCAAGCCCTCCAAGCCCTGGTCCCGCCTGCGATCATATCTGAAGTGGAACTGATGCTGGACTTCTGGTGCTGGTGTCGCATCAGCCTGGCTATAGTTCCATGGGTTTCCCAAATCCCATTTTTGCAGGTGCCAAAATTGGGGTCAAAAGCTTTGGGTCTATCATGACATGAGAGGTCTGAGGCTTCACAAGGTCTCCATGGTCTCCAAGCCCTCCACAGAATCCATGGGCCCATGGGCCCATGGGCCCCTTGAAATCTGGCTTTGGAAAAATCCTGCCTCCTTGGTGGAAGACGCCATCAGTACGTCTTGAACCTGGACCCAGGACACCGATTTTCACACCGATGCCTGGATCAAACATGCTCAAAATGGTAGACCAAATGACCCAGAGAAGGATGGTTTGATTGGTAGGCAGTTCACATGTTCATACCAAGCCATCATTACCCATCAACTACCCTATGGTAATTTAACATAGCTATGGAAAATGGACCATTTTTAGATGTTTTACCTAGTAAAATGGTGATTTTCCACCGTTGTGCTAGTTTTCCAGAGGGTACTGCTCCAAGATACTCCAAGACGCTCAAACCCCCAAATTTCCTAATGTTTCCTGATTTCATTCCGCGTCATGATCTCATGAGCCACCCAACAAATCTGGGAATTCCACATCATGCTGGTGGACTCCTTAAAATGGGATGTAAAAGAAATTCCCAAATGGTTGGTTAATGGCATGGTTTAATTAGTTTAAATATTGGCTTTACCACTTTATATATCATAAAAAAATCCCATGAAATCCCGAAAAAATACCATCATTTTGGGGGTATGAAAAATCGTCAATCCCATGGTGCCAGGCTGCCCATGGCTGCCCCCCCGCTGCTTTTTGCGCCGCTTTTTGTCGTGGCCGAAACCACACGCCGCACGAAGGATGCGGGGAAGGCGCTGCGTTGCGCCGCCGCATGGATCTGCTGCAACTGCTGTGGGGCGAAGGAAGCGCCATAGCGCACCTGAAAAATCGATGGCGACCGTTCGGACCGTTGGATCAAGCCATGGGATTTTCGGAGATTTTTTGGTTGTTTTGTACCAAGAAATCTATATGATGATCCCAATTCTTGCGAGAAAAAAAAAAACTGAAATCAACGAATTCTCTAAGATTTATAGGATTTATAGATTTAGCTACGCTTATCTAACATGTTGTTCAAAAGAAACATGGATCTATACAGACCCCTTGCTAATCCCCCAATTATAGAATTGTTCGAGATCATCTTTTTGCACATCCAAGACACCTTCAGCCATTCCAATCGATCACCCTCTTCCAAGGCCTTCAGGCTGGTGGAGGTGAATTTGGGGATCTGTCATCTGTTGGTTTCAAAAACCTACTGATCATTCCAATCATTCCAATCATTCCCTTCATTCCAATCATTCCAATCATTCCAGTCCTCTTGATCCATTTTGCTTTAGTTACTGTAAGCCACCATTCCTGTTTGTTGCTCTCAGTTTGATCCCGCCCTGGTGGTCAAAATCCCACTGCCTGCTGGTTGAACCCTTTCAAAACCACCATGTTGGCAGGTGAAACTCCCAACGTTTCACCATTCTTGGTGAAACCGCCAACTTTAGGATTGTTAAAGTCCATGATTTATTCATTAAATTCATTTAAGTTACTGATGAAATGCACTGTTCCATCTTTTTCCCTGGTTTCATCCCCATTTCTGTTGCTTAAATCCATGGTAAATCCCCCATTTCTCGCACCTCCAGATGCTCCATGGAGGCAGGCGCACCCATCTCCAAGACTTCTCTCGCGCTGAGAGACGGTGGAGCGGGGAGATTTTCCTCGACGCTGTTGCCATGACTGGGGGGGTCCAGAGTCACCCCACATGTTGCTGGATGGTTTTTTTCCATGGAAAAATCCGAACATAAAATGGATGATGACTGGATGATGACTGGGGGTACCCCCATAACTTGGACACCTCCATTTAGATGATCAATATGTTTGTAGTTAACATGGTTATACAAGATATAAGACATCTTAAGATTAATATGTTTACTATGGTTACCAGATCTTACCAGTATGGTTAGAACATATCGCTGTGGTTGGATGATCAATATTGGTTATCATTGCTATTCATCATTAACCGCATTAACCATAGGCCAACATCTGCATCACTACGTATCGGCGATTGATAATGACCATACTTATAATACAAACAAAGAAGTATTGGAATCATAAACATGATCACAGCAAACAATCATGAACATTACACAACAAGAATGATAACGATGTATAATCATGAATATATAATTTATAATGATATGGAATGATTCTGATTCTTCTGAAGCTAGTGATAGTTATTTTCTACTTACCCTCTGGTAATTTAACAGTTCGCTATTGAAAATGACCATAGAAATAGTGGATTTTCCCATCAAAAATGATGATTTTCCATAGCTATGTTAGTTTACCAGAGGGTAAAACCACCGGTGCCACCGGTCATCCCCTCGTCCTCCCGGGTGCATCGTTCGCAGCCGCAACGGAAGCCTTCCGCGCCGTGCTTCGCCGTGACCTCGCGGCGCGGCGCCAGGTCCATCATGGCGTGCCGGGCGCCGAAATATTCGAAGGTCACCTGAAAAAAGGGGCACATCTTGCAGCAGGACATGGAAAAAAGCTGGCTTAGTCATGGTGGATTCATGGTGGACTCACCTATCCATGAAGTATGACTTGGAAATAGTCATGTTGAAAAGTGGACTGAAAAGTGGACTGAAATCATGAAAATGCACGCCAAAATCCGCCATTTAATCCCTCTTTCTGAGTTGAAAAATGATGAACTCTACCGACAGGTCCCAGCCCTCTGCACCACTCGCCCAACAAGGCGCCTCTTCACCCGACTTCATGTCCCGTGCGGCGCACAGCAGCATTGTACCACCCCGCCGGGCGTTGGAAGCCGAACCCTCCTGGGATGAGGTTGGGAAAAAAAAGGATCTGCTGTTCTGCAAAAAAAATAAAAATGGAGGCTTAGTTTAACATAGTTTTACATTGTTTAACATAGTTTAATATGGTTTAACATGGTGTAACATGGTTTAATATGGTTTAATCACCATCTCTTACCCACAGTTTGACATGTTTTGACCAAACCATGGCGATCTTGATTGTATGGTCCCTTCGATAGTTCAAACTTCACGCTTAAATCTGTGATCAACTTGGCGCCAATGTTTGGATTTTCTGCCACTAGCCCCTATGGCATGGCACAATTGGCCGCAACTTGGATCCTACGCCGTAAATCTTCGGCAGGACATAGGATGTGAAGTGAAAAGGTCTATAGAGTCTATATCGTTCAAAATTGAAGAGAACCAAGGACCATGGTGGAAATGGATGAAATGGAAAGTTTACAGCTAGTCATCACGATAATACGCAATAATTCCGTTCCAACAAAACAAAAAGACCGATAGAAGTTGCTTTGGATGAAACACAAATCTGCAGACTGTCCTCTCTACATGGTCTGATAAACCACAGTCTCTCAGAATTTTGATCTATGTCCTGCCAGTGCGGCAGCTAAGTGGTGCAGCAGGTGAAAACGACACCTTCGGCAATAGGTCTATACATTGAAATGCCCAGCATCAGTGCTCCACATGATCCAGGATGGACCATTGGGCCTGCGACTGTTCGCAGTGGCCTTGGGATCCAAGTAGGATCCAGGGCGGATCTATTTCTAAGCCGATCAGAAAAGGTCTGCACTTCAAAAAACGAAAACGAAAAATAACATATCGGAACTATATAGTTGGAGCATGGAAGCAAAAACGAAACACTTTCGCATGTGTCTCAGTCCCCAACAGAATCTGCACCTCGTGCGCGTGCACTTGCCCTGCCGATGCAAGAGTCACGAAGCAACATGCCTTTTAAAAGGAGACTCCAAGACAAATCCAACCCGTGCCTCCAGGTAGCTCTTGCACCGGCCAAACCCAGAAAACTGAGAAGTGCGGCATGACAGGCCCATGGCCACATAAGGGCATTCCTGGCAGATCTCAAGAAAACAATTCCGCCTTTGAATCAGAAAAGTTGCCAAAGACATACGGGCTCTGAGTCAACCATTATGAACCGATACGAGCCACTTCCAAGATCAATCTTGCGCTTGCATGCCACACATGTGTCACACACATGCCACACACGTGCCAAACACACCTCCCACACAATTGCGCCTCCATGCCAGGGCGGAACTTGGGAGCTTTGCCATTCAGGGTGCTGCTGGCCCTGGGCAGTTCGGATCCGGAACTCAGAAGCGACGGTACCTCCACAGGCTCAGCCTGAGGAGTTTGCGGCTCCACATGTTCCAAGGCCGGTTCGGCCTCTTTGGCCTCTTTGGCCTCTTCGGCTGCCCGTTCGGCCACCACTGGCTCAAGGGCCAGTAGCACCTGCTGGTGCTGAGCACGCAACGCTTCACGCTGCTGCTCGGCAACGACATCCAACACCCGCTTGTTCTCCGGAGGTGCAAGCTGCGGCTGAACAGATGGGCGGCAGCTAGCTTGCCAGAGGCGCTGCAACTGCTCAAAGGTTCCCAAGTCAGTTGGGGTGTTGTCCCCTGTTTTTTGAACCTTCTGATCTTGCTGCACTTCTGGAAATGCTGGCCAAACCAAACAGGGCACAAGCCACAGCTGGCAAGGTGGGCCATGCACTGCATAGTATTGCGTAGCTTCATCAACATTTCCGAAGAGATTCGGAATGGCGCAACCAGTGGCTGGACTCTCAGCTGATTCCACAAAGGTCTGAGGCGTCTCCATCTCTGGTGCCATGAAGGGCTCTTCCACGAATTCCACGACGATGGAATTGGGACGGGACTCAGACTTCGGCATGGCTCGGATGGAGGTCGAGGCCGCTCCGCTAGTCGCGCCCGTGAAGTCAACGCTGGTGTCGTTGTTCGAACCACTATGGGCTCACGAGATCTCAAGAGATGTCGCGTCGGCAGCCATCAGTTCCCAAAGTTTGATGTTTAATCATTCATGGAGGTTCATTCACAAAACATGCAACAAATAAACACTAATCAAGAATGGAAATAAATCATATCCGATGAAATTATGCCAGTCATAACTGAGTCATAACTGCATATAATGTATCGAATCCCATCAGGAATCCAAGCCGTCTGTTCACATCTTCCCTCAGCTCCTCCTTCTGGGTGATCACATAGTGCGCAGTGGGCGCACAGGAATGGTTCACGAAAGAAATGGTCAGCCACAGGCCCCAGCCTTTCCCATCGCAGCTGAAGCCGTTGGTTTTCAAAACGCCAAACAGCTCCTGCCACTACCAGGGCGTTACCCATTTCGAATTGTTTCTCAATTGTTGAACCACGAATATTGGATTGCTTAGGACTCATGACCAAGGTTTTATGATTTTTGTTGAGTCTTTTGCCCACCTTTTGTCATTGAATTGACCCACGTCTACATCCACATCCACACGTCACTGAGCTCTTCTGTTCCAGTCATCAGTACCCTCTGGTAATTTAACGTAGCTATTGAAAATGGCAATTTATAGTGGATTTTCCCATTAAAAATGGTGGATCTTTCCATAGTTATGTAAACGTTTACCAGAGGGTAATCCCAATGAGAGGGTCCTGCGCGGTGAAGTCGGATTTCATGGGAAGCCTTCCACTTTGGAAAGGCTCACAGAGTTCCTGGAGCACGCGACCTGTGACTTCCTCGGCCCAGCTGACCCAGCTGGGATGGAGATCTGGAAGTTGCGGAACCAGCGTTTACCACGAGTGGATTCAACGTGAGAAACCACATGTGCGGAACCAAGAATCCTGAGAAGCCCCATAGAAAAATGGATCCTTCTGAAGGAACGATCCAACAACATCTAACAACCGAAGTCAAGAATTCATACAGTCATACAGTCTACCACCTCCCCAACAAGAATATGACACTTCCAACCCCAGCCCGCTCCCCACTGGTCCAGGCTCTGGTTGTTTCTCTCCGTCGCTCAACTGACTGAGTTTCATCGCCATGACTTCGGAACCGCAACTGAGCGCCGTGGACAGCGCTTTCTGCATGGGCGCCGTGGGGTCTTTGAAAACCTGCCGCTGGGGTGGAAAAGAAAAATGCCATGGGAAAACGAAGGTGAAGAGGAGATGGATTCAGATGGATCATTCACTGAATGACATTCTGGTTCTGAGCTCCCTTTCTGATACTTTTTGATAGCTACATGGTTGGTCAGAATTTGGGTACCTCCAAAGTTCAAGCTCGGATTCAATCGGATTCAATCAACTTGCCCAAAATCTTTGGCAAAATCTTTGGTTTTGGGGGTACACTTCCTCCAATCACCTTGGGTATCTGGAGAAACCCGGGTGTCCCCCAGCTTTCGTATTGCTGCTAGACGATTATTGTAACTAATCATCATTGTCATGACATACTATGCCTATTGTTATCATTGCCATTGTCATGTCTCTTTCATGAATATATACATGACCCCAACCACGATTCCAATACACTTAGCATTACTTCTAATTACCATCATTCTCATGATTCAAACCCATCATGAACATCAGCGCCATCATCAACACTACCATGATATTACATTATATATTATATATATAGTATATATTATATATATATATATATTATTATATATATATATTATATTATATATATTATATATATATTATAGATTATATATTATATATATTATATATTATATATATATTATATATTATATATTATATATTATATATATATTATAGATTATATATTATATTATATATATATTATATTCTATAAAGCGTCAGCCAACTACTGACATTCCCAGTATCATGATTCCATCGGTTTCACTGGCTTCACCGGCTCGGCTGGGCGCCCCAAAAAAAATCGGTAGAACGTGGCAACCAGCGTCATTGGACGCAAAAAAAAGACATCGAAATGGTGATTAACCAATAATCGGTGGTTAATGATGGTTAATGATGGTTAATGGTTGATGATGATTACCCATCATTCACCATCATTAACCATCATTAACCACCAGCCAATTATTGCTGTGATGACCGGAGCGTAGCATTTCTAAATCTGTTGGACATCACTAAAAAAACTGACATCGCTAAAAAGAAAACATTTCAGAAAACCCAAAGCATCATCCAATGTGTGAATCATCCAATATCTAATTAGGTGTAATTACCCACTAGAACCCACTTCCATATCTTCCATCATCTTCCATCATCTGTCTGGGTAAATTATAATATTTCACTAACCGGAAATGTTGGACCATGTTGGGATAATTCCCCGAATCCTAACCATGATTCCAGGGGTCGGGAGAACAGGCTTCGGTCGTGATGAAATTTACCCAGATCATCCCAGATCTATATTAATCATCATTAACCATCATTAACCATCATTAACCATCATTAACCATCATTAACCATCATTAACCACCAGCCAGTTATTAACCATAAATCCTTCCATCCCCGCCTTCACCATCTGCTCCGGCGTCCCCCGGAGCCCGAGCCGCGTCTCTGTCGAGCGCTCGACCGGTAGAGCTGTGGGGCCTTGGAAGACCAGAGCAGTGGCGGCCATCAGCAGCGTGCCACGAGGGACATCATCCTTAAAGATGCCACGGAGGGGCTGGCTGGGGGTGAGACTAAATGACTAAAATGTTACTAAAATCATGTGATTTTACCAGGAACCATGATTTTGAAATCATGGAAAATTGGGAAAGTCGAAATTGGAGATTGGTGTCAAATGTTTGAATCAGATAGGAAGCGTCAATACCCATGCGTCCCACCATGAAAACAAGATGCCGGAACCATCACAAACCCATCAAAAGCTGCGATTCTTGGACCTGATGTCCAGGTGGGAAACAAGTGTCCCAATGGGAATTCTCAACATCATGGATGTTCATTGCGATCTGTGGATCAGAGGAAACTGCAGGTGGATAGAAATACGGTGAACCCCGTACACCCCTGAAATCGGGAAGGGAAGACCTCTCGCATTCACAGAATCAAGCCTGTATAGGCCGACCTGTTGCAGCCTAGCAGTAAGGATATTGCCAAAGTACCATCAAAAGAGGGAATGATTCGGTTTGATCTCCAAAAAATCATAAGTCACCAATCATATCTATCCGTCCATTGCTTTCAGTAACACACCACCCTTCACCAACCTTCACAGCAACCCCAAGCACATCAAGCACATCACCGGGGGGCCGTCACCTGTACTCCCCTTTGGCCGTTGGGAAATACCACCACCTCCAAATTGGGGTGGACATAGTTTGGCACTGGTGGCAGCACAGTTGCCAGGTACCAGCAGCTTTTGGCCAGCTCAGGGTCATCCTGGCGACATCCGGAAATCACCCAGAAACTTCAAAAAAGTTGGGCCCGAAATAAAGGCACGAAGTAGCAAAAATTAGAGACAATTCAATTGGGGAATGTATTTGGACGACTGATTTCCAGTACATTTTTGGGACAAAATTGAAACCCTGCTTCCAACAATGGTTCCTGCTGGACTCTGAAATGAATGGGAAATCACGAATTTCCTCGGTCAAAGCACCATCTGTGCTGGTCCAACAAAAAGGATCTTCGTGTTGGTCAACGCAGTCAACTCCCTGTTGCGAACTCAAAGAAATCATGTCCGTTGCTGAAAAATTTCTCCATTTTCTCCCTTGGCTTCAAACCTCGATTTCGAAAGAAAGGCTCAAATGGAAAGCAAATCCTCCATTAAAGTGGACCGCCCCCCATACCCTCTGGTAAACTAACATAACTATGGAAAATCATATTTTTTAATGGGTAAATCCACTATTTCAATGGCCATGTTCAATAGCTATTTTGACATAACCAGAGGGTATTTGATGTTGTTGATTTTAAATCCACATTATAGGTCCCCATTTATGGTTGGTTCCCCTCCCGCCAGGTGGGGATCACTCGACGTTTGTAAACTTGTTTGATCCTTAAGATAGTGCGCTGGTGGCTTAGTTGTATCCCTTGTATCCCTAATGGCCTAACCCACCCCAAAAGCCTTTACAATCAAATTCAATCACCCAATTCCCATCAATCATGAGTATATCCCATAATATATCATAATATAATGATCATATATGAAAATATATAAATTCCCATAATATAATGATCATATCCCCATGAAAAAAATCATGAAACCACCATTTCCACCGGTTTTTCATCCTCCCGCGGCACCTCCGTCTCCGGACACCTTTGCTGTTCCTCGAAGTAGATCCCAGCGACATCCGCGTGACCTCGCTGGCTGCGCTGCGCCCTGGCCGAAGCCACGCGGCGCCAGGCAAGGCCCAGCCTCCGACGGAGGATTTCAGCGAAATCCATTGGAAATGGTGGTTTCATGCAATTTTTTAATGGGCTTAGAATGGAATACAACTAACCAAGTAGCAAAGAAAACATGGGGGAGGGGGAAAAAAAACTGTTCTAGTTCACTCTCTTCAAACACCTTCCTAATTTCTTCAACAAGTGTTCATCAAATTCTGGGATCATTTCACATTTTTCTCCACATCAATCATCATCATGTTCCATGATTTTGCTGGTTAGAACCGCCATGAATTCCATAAATCATAACTCATCAAAGCCAAAGTGACTCTCCCGGCATCTCGTCCTTCACGTCCTTCACCTCCTCTGCCCTACCCAGCTGCAGAAGCGCAACTGCTTCAGCCAACTCAGCCAGCGGCCTCCAACGCCTGATTTTTCCGGCGGACAGCTGGTTTGGAAAAGTTTGGAAAATGTCAGTTGAAGAGATTGGAAATAAAAAGAGTGGAGGGGATTCAAAATCAATTTTCTTTGGATGATGGTAAGGTAAGGTGATATCCAGCTGTTGATTTAAATCGAGAATGCTGTGTATACATATATATATATTATGTGTGTGTATAGCTATTTGGGATTATTTGGGTGTATACCGATATACCACATCCCAAGACACACCCAGTCCAACCATAGTACCATCCCATATAATCATCATCAGTAACCATGAACCATACCTCGTAGTCAAAACCATTTGTCGTTTCTCAAAAAGAAAAATATTCATAGCCATATATGGCACGGCACATCATCGTCATCGTCATCATCATCATCATCATCATCAAATGGCAATAACTAATCTTATCATATCTCATCTATGCCACCTGCCATGCATAATTGATCATGTCATCACCATGAAACATATCATGAAACAATGGCACCTGCCAGGATCATGTCATCCATGTCATCCATCGCAAAGTCAGTGATCCCCATGATTATTATTATCATTATAAATTACACAATATACATAGATGTACTGTATATCATATCATATCATATCACATCATATCACATCATATCATATCATATCATATCACATCATATCACATCAAATATCATATCATATCATATATCATATCATATATCATATCATATCATATCATATATCACATCATATCATATCAGATCATATCATATATCATATCATATCATTTTACATCATATCATATCACATCATATCATATCATATCATATATCACATCATATCATATCAGATCATATCATATATCATATCATATCACATCATATCATATCATATCATATCATATCAGATCATATCATATCATATCACATCATATCATATCATATTACATCATATCATATATCACATCAGATCATATCATATCATATCATATATCATATCATATCACATCATATCATATCATATCATATATCACATCATATCATATCAGATCATATCATATATCATATCATATCATATCACATCATATCATATCATATCACATCATATCATATATCATATCAAATCATATCATATCATATCATATCATATCACATCATATCATATCACATCATATCATATCATATCACATCATAGCATATCACATCATATCATATCATATATCATATCATATCATATCACATCATATCATATCATATATCATATCATATATCATATCATATATCATATCATATCACATCATATCATATCACATCATATCATATCATATATCATATCATATATCATATCACATCATATCATATCACATCATATCATATCATATCATATCACATCATATCATATCACATCATATCATATCATATCATTTTACATCATATCATATCACATCATATCATATCATATCATATATCATATCATATCATATCATATCACATCATATCATATCATATCACATCATATCATATCATATATCATATCATATCATATCATATCATATCACATCATATCATATCATATATCATATCATATCATATCACATCATATCATATCATATCATATCATATCATATCATATCATATTATATCATATCGTATCAGATCAGATCATATTATATCATATCAGATCAGATCATATCATATCATATCATATCATATTAGATCATATCATATCATATCATATTTTGGTAAATAGCGATTGCTTTCTTTTTCTTTGGATTCTCACCACATTTGGCACCAGGCAAGGCTACTGTTGGTGGAGCTGCCATCTTCAAACCCAATGCAGTATATTATAAGTGATCCCCATGATCCCCTCACCTGGTCTCCTTCAAGCGTTTCGCATCTTCCAACGCCACATCCTCCGCTCCCAGCAGCAGCCGCCCCAGCAGCCGCCGCCGCAACGCCTCGATGCTCAGCGGACAGCCGAGCTCCACGAGATCCGCAGGGACAGCGCCGGAGGCGCCGGACGCAGCCAGCAACGACCTGTGTTGGACCCGTGGAAAATGGAGCAAAAGCCTGGGAAAAACATAGGAAATATCTGATAAGATTCTTGTGATAAGACCTGATAAAAACGTCTGGAAAATGTGGAAAAAAAGTGGAGCTATCGGATAGATCGTTGGAATTCATAAGAGGAGCTGGATTTTTTTTTGGAAATGTGTTGTCAAAATCAACCGGAAAATGGGATTTACGGCGATGCTTCTTTTTGACGCAAGCAGTGGAGTATGAAGTGATTCAGTAGAAAACTGTCCAATGTTTTCACAAAAAGCTACCATCTATATCCATCTATATCATCATGTTGAAATGATCAACGCCAAATCTCAAATATGTTTCGTTTCGCGTTGCGTTTTCTCAACTCACCATCTTCCACATCCCACATCCCACATCCACCCGGCCCCTTGGCCGATGCCTGGGAGGCTGCCAGCCCGCGGCCAAGCGCAGCACGGCCTGGCAGTTCTGCTCCACCTGTGGGAAGTTGCCATCCTCCAAGGCCTCGTCGCTTTGCTGCAGCAGCTTCCGTGCCAAGGCCTGGCTCCCAAGGCTCCCAAGGCCAAGGCCTGCTACATATCACTTGGATACGGCAGTTCTACATGGTTTATATATATATATCTATCTACAAATATGTGTATGTATATATATACACATATATATATAGATAGATAGATAGATTGATTGATTGATTGATTGATTGATTGATTGACAGATAGATAGGTAGGGGATCCAGAGTGAGACGGCGGGGCTCCGAGACTCTGAGCGCTGGAACAGTCGCGCTGGATGTTGAACAATGTTGAAATGAGTCGTGGTGAACACAGATGCCCATAGAAATAGTGATTATACCCATAGAAATAACCATAACCGGGCGCAGTCCTGTGTCTGAGTTGCTATGATTGCTATGATTGCTATGATTGCTATGATTGGTAGTATCCACATCGTAGTTGGGATGCAGGCAGCATGGCTGGTCATGGCTGGTCATGGCTTTGGTAAATTTCTGTTACTCAAAGTGACCGAAATTAGGTGGTGTATGTAGGAGGTCAAAGAGCGAACACCACCCAGTAACACCACCCAGTCCGTCTGGAAACCGCAAGACATTCCAAAACAAATCAATGATGACAGCCCAACACATCCCCAACACCCAATCTGCTTGGATTCAACAGCTTGCTGCCCGGGCCTTGTGTCTCCAGGGCACTGCCCGCAGCACAAGGCCTTGATGCCACGGGGTGTCTTGATGTCCCAATACGGGACGACCTGCTTCCCCATGGGTGACCAAAAAAAGCATCAAAATGAGGGCTGAGAATGTGAATGTTGACCCATCCTAAAATGTCACCATCAAAAAATACGAAAATCTGCCAGAGATGCTGAGTGAGTCCAAGAATTTCTAGAGGTATTCAATATTCACCGACTGAAATTATGCAAGAATTGGCTAATGAGTCACGAAGATGGGGATTTTCACAAAGCAGAACCTGCGCAGATTGCCCTCATCGTCTATGGTCGGATTTTAGGTCAAGCGTCTGTGCTCCCTTATATTGGCCCTTCCACGTGCCAAGAGTATCTCACCAAGTTTGATTTTTTATAATTGAATTGAATGACTTGAACAGATTTAAGAACGGGAGAACAAAACTTACTAAAGGGAGAAAAAAGAGCAAAAAAAAATCTGTACTATATTATGCTTATGTATGTTTCAACATGTTCAACATTGACGGTGTTCATCCTTCAAAAAAGCCTCAGCCCACATCCTCTACCGCCCAAAGCCAAGCAGCCCAGCACAGCCAAGCGCGCCGGCCTCAGGCTGGTTCCTGGCGGGCCAACCCTTGGGGTTTTCACCCCAGAAAACATCGAAAGGACAGGAAACAACACAAGCATAACTAGCCCAAAAAAGACAAACATGTGAATAAATGAAAGGAACTAAAGTTATCTAGAATCTAGAATTCAAAAATTTGAGACTGTTGACTTTTGAGCCGATCCCAGTGTGCCATTGTGCTGGCTAAATCCCAATTTTGGGGATAAGTTTGGCACGTCAAGTTTTTCTGTATTTTGGTGAGCATCACCATTTCGTTAAACTACGTTTTAAAAAAAACTGTTTTTTTGCGGGTCAAATATGTTAAAATCCCAAATTTGGGTGAAACATGATGAAGCTCTCCAAAAAGGAGGTTCCTAAAATGAAGGAATCCCCAAAAACCATGGCTTTCAACACTAAATCATGGTCTGACTTGGATGATTTGGGGTACCCATTCTTCCAAATATTGAAGCATGTTGAAACCCAACCTCGCCTCCCCATGCCTTCACTTTGGAAATGCCGCGCCCGCATCGCCCGCGTCGCCCGCGCAGTGGACACGCGCGAAGAGGCACCGGGCCGGCAACGGGCCACGCAGAAATCATCCGCAGAGGCCATCGGATGACGAAAAATCTTGAAACTCTTCGAGGATAAAGGTTCTGATGCGGATTTTTTTGTGTTAAATCCATTTTAATCTATTAATGCCAAGCTTTTGCTGACTGAATTGAACACAATTCTAGAGCCATAAGGTATTCTGCCCACCAATTGTAGAATGGTGGCTCGATCTAGAAATGTGGATATGGACCGCACCTGGCGGATTACATAACAGGGATGTATCCAAAAGCGGGAAAGATCTGAAAACATAGCCAGGCACCCTAGGATCCCTAGGGCAAACGTTTACATGTGGAAAACCAATGGTGTCCTGGAAAATGATCGAGATTTATGGTAGGTGTTCCACATCTTTCTGTTTACTGCTTAATCGTAGCACAGCAGACTTGAGACTTGAGAAGGGCCTCGATTTCTGATGTGCAAAGGGTGCAACTTGAGCAACTGAGAATATCTTGATTGGTGGTTTCAACATGTGTCAACCCATCTGAAATCACGTCACTTTGGCAAATATCATCCGATTTTCCTTTGAAACCACCAATCAACCACACTTACATCATACGTCATTAAAGGTCATTAAGCCATGAAGATGTGGATGTTGCCGAGATCGATCCTGCCATTCCAGGGATGTCATGGATTTCAACTGCCACACATGTCTACAGATGTCTTCAGGTCATGGGATTCAGATGAAACCATGATGAAACCATGAAACCACCACTCGGCTGATGATGAAATAGCCATGAAATTGGAATTCAGATTCAGTTGATGAAACCATGAAACCACCAGCCACTATAGCCACTAAAGATCCATGAATTGTTGATGAAACATGATGAAACCACCACGAAATTCGGAATGATAAAAATTGGCTTTTTGGGGATCCGCACAGGCCGAAGCACGTCAGGAAGGACTTCGCCATGCGAACTGGCCAATGGGTTTGAAACGTCACTTGGAGGACCAAGTTGGAAATGTCTGCTTCGAAAGCTGCAGTAATTCCGAAGAAAAACTACAATCTGAGTCGCTTTCGGAACAACCTGATTTTTTTGTGTTCAGAAAAATCTTGCGGAATGACAAGATATGAAAATTCGTAAACAGGGCTGAAAGTGATGTCTGATGATTGTCATGATAGTTTTGGTGTGGATAAGCATTGTTCCATATTTTTTCAGCATGACCGTAGCAGGCCATGGTCACCATGTGAAACACCAAAGCTTCATCACTGAACCGCAACCGGCTGCGATGGAGCATCAATGGCTTATCCTAGATATTATACAGATACATGATATTACATTGCTGGTTGCTGGTTCAACCCGTATCAAAATGATGTTTGAGGCTTGATCATGTTTGATCACCATCCCAAACATGGGTGTAAAATGCTGTAAAATGTGTTCCTCATGGTTCCTCCATGGCTCAACATTGACCTTTTGGGGCATTTGGTGCCGGCGAAAACTCATGACTGCCGTCTCCATGGTGCTCAAGATTGGAAGTTCAGTCAATCCCAGGTGCAGAGAAACCGCCCAAGATAACCCAAGTTTTGTGGGGAAACGTTTCCCCATCTTTTTGGCGAGAACTTGTGCCACGGCGCAAGGACATCGCAAGAGGCCCTGGGACAACTGGACGGCTCGGAACTGGAGCAGCGAACCAGAGCTCAACGGTGACCAAAAAGGGAGATGAGGAACTGTCCAAACATAACGCTACAAATTTCCCGTGCTTTATCATGATGTTCCCATGAAAATCCCATGGAAATTTTGCATAAATTGATATATTTTTATTGGCAGATTCACCCATGTCTGATTAATAAAGCCATGTTGCCAAGTGCCAAGCGAATTTTTACTTGATGCTTGCGATGAAAGAAATCATAGAATTATAGAATATCAATATCAATGTACCCATACAATACATTACAATACTGGGGATACCCTCAAATGAGCCGATCTGATATTTGTCAGAGATGATTTTTATTGATTTTTGGTGAACCGCTACGCTGGGCCACATCTTTTGGACTGGGTGAATGTCACCAGCTTCTGATGGCGATGCAACCCCCCAGTATCCAGTCAGCGGCTAGAGCCAAGCTAGTCACTTGGAACATCTTGGAACCCTGGCTGACCCTGGTATCATAGTGCTGGATGTTCCCATCTAAAACTCGTCAACACAGTGATAGATCGCCATGTTATTCCCCAAGATATATATATATATAGCATCGACTGCTTCGCTATATAAGCTGACCATGTTTAAAAACCCAAGGCGCCAAATCATCCAAATATCGGCATGGATCAAAGCCATGCCGTACCTGGTAGTGGTTCACATCAAAATGGAATAGTACCATAGATGGTCAATGGATGTTAGATCCCAGAAAAATGACCATGTTTGACCATGTTTGACCCCAAAGGTGACCCCGGGGGCTTGGCTATGCTTGGCTGCCAACTTCCGGGAATTCAACCAGCAACGCACTGCAAGTGATGCCTCTGTCAGGGAGTCATCGACCCCCAAATTAACATGGACCCTGAAAATAGCCCAAGTTGAGTGGAAACAACTCTTCCAAGCCTTAAAAATGGCAGGGTCGATGTTAACAAAATGGGGATTCAATTGCTTTGGGATATGTTTCTGTGGTATGGGTTTGTCTGAAAATAGCCAGGACAGCCAAGACCCAAAACTCCAATGCATTATCATCATGTTGATTCATTTTCCCCAAAAATGAAAATATGGCAAGCTTGGGGGAATCCCAGATTTTCGGACAAACGCACATGGAGAAATTGTGTGGTAAACCATGGTGTGTTGGGGTACCCAAGTTTGAAACATGCAACATGATGTTACCCGACATCGAACAACAAACAAATAATCACAAATTGGTTCCGGGTTGGATTTTTTTCCCCACCCACTGGCTTCCAGTCACCACCTAAATCATCAATCATCGATGCCTGGATTAGCCTAAATGAAGCTTGAACACCGGCTCGGTTCAGGGATCCGTGTGATTTTCATCCCTGACAGAGGACCATCTCCCTACCCTACCGCACGGACCATCACTTCCGCGCGCCGCCTCCGGGTCCCTCCGGGTCCCGCGGGCCACGTAGCAGTCCCACGGTGCATGGCCAAGGTGGCAGGCGGCGCGCTTCGGCGAGGCAATCGGGTCAAAAAGAGTTCCCCCAGTCGGGGTGGCCGCCGGTGGTCAATCACTGGTCGAGAATCATCCTTTTTCGCTCCGGTGCTGGGAGATATTTTGTTCAAAAAAGAACAAGGGGGCCAGGTTTTTGAATTATGGGAATACGATATCTGATAGTCTGATAGGATAGGAAATATGATAGCTACATTACCCAAAGTTATAAGACCTATTTCCTTGCTGGTTTTTGAATAGCCTACAAGGAGTCGGATAAGTCGGTTTTTAGCGAATAGGTCACAGCTGGGTGACCTGATCCTGAGTGGTTCACTCCTGAATTTTTCGACCCAGGACCAGGCATTCCCCAAGACATTGAGGCGTGGCTATGAATCAAGACCCTGGCAATCTGGCTTTCACATCAAAATAACTGGATATATGATATATAAGATCCCTGGAATCACATGGAAACTCAGTGACATCATAAACCTTAAGGTTTTCAGACGTTCTGAACGACGCCAAAAAAAAACCTTCGCCCCGATTAACATGGATGCTCATAGTGTGATCCACCACTTATGACTGCTCGGAGCAAGTCTCCTTTGGTCAACGGCGGCACTTTGCGCGGCTTCCCAGTCCATGAGAAACATCACCGCAACGCCAGGGGGCGCCGTCTCCACGACTATGTCGACCACAAATGGTGACTGAACCATTGGAAATTGTAATTTTAAAAAACGCCAAAAAAGACATTGAAAATTGTGATTTCATGGGATAGAATGGGATGCA